TTGTAAATAATGCTGCTGTAAACATTGGGGTGCATGTATCCTTTTGAATTAGTGTTTTTTATCCATATGTATTTTAGAATCAACTTGTCAGTTTTTACATGTATATAACCTTTTAAATTTTGATCTTGTGTTGCTATTTTATTAAATCCCTTTTTCTTCCATTATTATTTTGAAATGGCATTTAAAGTTTTTTTTAAAGATTGTATTTTTAAGTAATCTCTACACCCAGCATGGGGCTCGAACTCACAACTCTGAGATCAAGAATTGCACACACTCCACTGACTGAGCCAGGCAGGTGCCCCTGGCATTTAAAATTTTGATTGGCGGGTTCACATTGACTTTTGACTAGGGCTCTCTTGGGACAGAAGCTAAGAATATTCTAGTATATTCCCAAAGTAGATTGTCATCATAGATTTCAAATCTTACATATATTTAAACTTAGATAGATGTGACATTTCAAAAAAAGTAATTAGAAAAGTGATTATATAATTATCCAAGTGCTATTTCCCTTAAAAAGAAACCTTGAAAATCTCCTTAGATTTTTACTTTATTTTTTTAAGATTTTTATTTGGCAGAGAGAGTGGGGGGAGTGGGAGAGGGAGAAGCAGGCTTCCCACTGAACAGGGAGCCCGATGTGGGGCTCGATCCCAGGACCCTGGGATCATGACCTGACCCAAAGGCAGATGCTTAATGACTGAGCCACCCAGGCGCCCCTTTTTTTTTTCCTGAGATTTTTAACTATTTTATTTTACATTCTTCTTTTATGTGAAAAGAATGTCATCTTTTTCCTATATTATCTCTATATCTGCTGTCCCTCCAAACTGTAAACAAATTTATCATTCCAGGAGAAAAGACGGGAAAAAGAATTTCAATTGATTCTTAGAAAACTTTCTTTTTTTAACAGGGCGTCATCGTTGTATTGGGGAGAATTTTGCCTATGTTCAAATCAAGACAATTTGGTCCACTATGCTTCGTTTATATGAATTTGATCTCATTGATGGATATTTTCCCACTGTGAATTATACAACCATGATTCACACCCCTGAAAATCCACTTATCCGATACGAACGAAGATCAAAATGAAAAGGGCTGCAGGGAACTAACAAACATGTAAAACATCACTGTAAACTGCAAAAGCATTCGAAGAGAATGAAGTTTATGAAACAACTCCTGGTGTATTCTTTTTTTGAGTATAATTTTAAAAGACAGCTAGCTTAACTTACGGTTTTTTTATTTTCTTAACTGAGTGGTTCCATCAAATCTAATCGCATTTCAGATATTTCTTAATAGTTTTATGGTGGCTATTAAGGAAACCAAACTCATTAGTATGAAATTATTTAGGGGGATCGTGGTAATTGACAGATTCTAAACAGTTTCCAGGTATTAATCTTAACAAACGTAGCTCTTGGAAAGTAAGTTCAGGGTATTTACATCTTGGACTAGAGCTGCAAGTATAAAAAGGCCTAGAGGCCCAGGGAGATACTTGGAAAGCTCAGATTATTTATTTACTGGGTAATGTTTGTGTGTGTGAGTGAGGATGGGTGGGTAAAGAATAATCTAATTTAAAGCCTTGGATAAAAAAGAATCCCATCAATTTTTTTGGTATGATGAAACCTAGCAATGATGGAGCTATGCTGTAGAAAAAAAAAATGTTCTTTCAAATTTTATCTGGAAGGAGCTTTGTCTCCAGGAAACAGAGAGATCTGACAATGACTAATTACATTTCCTAAAAAATACTACTACTAAAGAATGCACATGTATCTTGATCTAATTACTAAATATTACATATTTATCTACCTGATAAACTTCTATCTGGTTCCACGTGGTGACATAATGTGAAAGCCCAAAATAAAGTTCTTAAGGAATAGTTTTGTTCTCTTTGGCTCTAGGTGGTTTCCTGCTTCCTCTCTAGAATCTAATTAGGGATGTTTCTGTTATTAGTTCTGTTTATTAAAACTTAATTTAGGTTAACAACCTTTTTATTTAAAAAAAAAAATACAAAATCAGAGACCAGGAACTCTGGCTTTAAGATAATGTGAAGTGTAGGGTCTTTGGGAGTAGTATGATTGGTCGCATTGTTGCAGCCTGTGTTCAAGAATCAATTCAAAGTATAACTGGGGACCTGACTATATATACCTGTTATAATTTGACCACATAATCTGTTTTTACTGGATGAGGCCAAAATATTTTCCTTTATATATACGGGAAAGCTGCTAGAGGACTCATGTTAAACTCTTTGTGAAGGTGAAATCTCTGCTGTTGAGTTTTTCACATTATCTCTGAGAAAAAAAATATAGTCTAATTCACTAATTGTAAAGTGGTGTGCTTCACTGAATAGAATTCAGGAATCTAGCAACTTGGATGGGGAAAAAAAAATTCCATCTTTGTACTAATTTCAAACTGTAATTTAGTATTTCCTTTATTTATGAAGCAACAAACTCTACTAGTATTAGCAGTACCCATGATTTTGAGAACAAAAATCACAGATTTTCTGTATCACATTAAGATGTTTCAGATCTCCTGAAATGTCTTTTACTTCCATCATTACTTTAAAATGATGGGAGTTATTAGATCAACTGCTAGATCTTATTTCTAAAAATGTACTTTTATTTTTTTTAAAGATTTTATTTATTTTGACAGAGAGAGACAGAGGGAATACAAGCAGGTGGAGTGGGAGAGGGAGAAGCAGGCTTCCCGCGCAGCAGGGAGCCTGATGCAGGGCTCGATCCCAGGACCCTGGGATCATGACCTGAGCTGAAGGCAGATGCTTAATGACTAAGCCATCCAGGCACCCCTAAAAATGTACTATTTCTGTGTAATTGGTTTCTTTTGCAACCCCATACATATTACATGTTTAAAAGCACTATTCTCAGAAGGGTCCCATAGTTTTCACCAAGACTTCTAGAGAGGTTCATGGCACAAAAAAAGCGCAAACCCCGAGTAAGGCTAGTCTGTGTTTAGTGAGTAGTTTGTTTTAGACTTGAATAGACTTAATTTTTTTCTTATTATTAACATATAATGTATTATTTGTTTCAGAGGTGCAGATCTGTGATTCAACACAATTCACAATTATGTCTTGCACAATTCACAATTGTGTCTTGCACAATTCACAGTGCTCACCATAGCACATACCCTCCCCAATGTCTATCACCCAGCCACCCCATCCCTCCCACCCCACCCCTCACTCCAGCAACCCTCAGTTTGTTTCCTGAGATTAAGAGTCTCCTATGCTTTGTCTCCCTCTCTGGTTTCGTCGTTTCACTTTTTTCCTCTCTTCCCCTATGATCCTCTGCCTTGTTTCTCAAATTCCACATATCAGTGAGATACGATAATTGTCTCTCTGATTTACTTACTTCGCTTAGCATAATACCCTCTAGTTCCATCCACATCGTTGCAAATGGCAAGATTTCGTTTTTTTGATGGGTGCATAATATTCCACAACCACATCTTCTTTATCCATTCATCCGTCGATGATATCTGGGCTCTTTCCGTAGTTTGGCTTTGAATAGACTTAATTTTTAACCACTGACTCATGACTGAGAAGCATCGACAAGTTGGACTGGAGAGGCCTGATGTGATGTCATAGGAGGGCTGATGGTCAGACGATGGGACACCTGTCCATCTGCTACCTTCTCCATTCTCTCTCACTGCAGAAGGGGCCTTGAATGGCAAGCTATACTAACTAAAAAAGGTTCTACTCAATTAAATGCTTTGGGATACATTCGTTATTTCTGGAACTCCTTAACTGGAACCCAGCTGCTAATATGGAAAAATTAAGTAATTAGAAATCTCCGAGAATGCAGAATTTGTTACCATAGCCTGTTTGTTGGTATAAACTCATAGAATGTCCAGGGGTAAGACAAAATCTTCAGGATGTAAGCATTAAATGCTATTCCTCTTGCTGTTTCAGTGAGATGCCGTATTTCAGGGAGGATTCTGGTTCAGAAATGCTGAGATTTACATTATCTCTATGAGAGCTTCCCAATCTGGAATTTGGCTTGGACAGCAAGAATACTTCTTAATTCTGCTGCATTTAGTATTATGGTTAATAAAATTTAAGATTCTTTCAGTTAAATGATTTCTGCATCATTCTAGTAGGCATGGCTTTGTGAAGACACACATTTGGACACAAGTAACACTAAACATAATAGGGCAATTATAGACTAATCATGAAAATATTAATATAGCTTTTAAAAAATACTATATGTAAAGCTGATAGAAAGTTACATAGAAAACTTCCTCAAAGGGGCGCCTGGGTGGCTCAGTTGTTTAAGCGTCTGCCTTCGGCTCAGGTCATGATCCTGGAGTCCCGGGATCGAGTCCCACATCGGGCTCCCTGCTCAGCGGGGAGTCTGCTTCTCCCTCTGACTCTCCCCTTCTCATGCTCTCTATCACTATCTCTCTCAATAGATAAATAAAAATCTTTAAAAAAAAAAAAGAAAACTTCCTCAAGGGAGGGAGAGAAAAATCCCAATAGTATCTAAGATTAGGACAACTTTCTAAATCTCAAAATATATAATTTGAGATAATGAGATAATCTGCACTGCCATTGGCTGAATTTTTGTGTCCGTCTCCCCCCACCAAATTCTTCTGTTGAAATTCAATCCTCAGTCTGTTGGTATCTGGAAGTGGGGCCTTTGGGAGGTGATAAGGTCATGGGGCAGATGTCTCATGAATGGGATTAATGTCCTTATAAAAGAGACCTCAGAGAGCTCCCTTGTCCCTTCTGCCATGTGAAGACAGAGCAAGAAGATTGTAGTCCATGAACCAGGAAGCAGGCCCTTCCCAGATACCAAATCTATTGGCACCTTTATTTTTGACTTCCCAGCCTCCAGAACTGTGAGAAGTAAATTTCTGTTTATAAGCCATCTAGTCTATGGTATTTGGTTTACAGCAGCCTGCATGGACAAAGATACACACCAAGCACTATGTCTCAGTTAAAAATGAAGGTTCCAAAAAAAAAAAAAAAAAAAAAAAAAAAAGGTTCAAATACAGTGTGGTTAAAATGGTGAAGTCATTTTTATTTCAGTACTTGACAAAATACCCCATAAAATTCAAAACTTCTACCGTTATACAAAAATAGGTCTCTACAAGTGATAGTATCTGTCTTCATCACCAGTAGCAAATATATTAGGGCAGAAACATGTAATTCAGTAGCCTTATAAGAAAAGTACAGGACACCTCAAGCTACACATTCAGCAGTATCATAATGCGCAAAAGTTTAATCTTTTCACCCATCCGATAAATACACAAGGTTTATAATTTAATCATTTAAATTAGCATTCCACAAATATACATGTAATTAAATGATTATTGTGCATGAATACATACACAATGCTATTATGTACAAATTCCGGTTTGTTTTCATGTGCTGGCAAGGGATTTGTATACAATCATAAGCTGTGTTCATATTGGTCCCGCTGAATATCCACAATACAAAAGCACAAAAGAACTGATTTACAAAAGGGAATCTGTTTAAAATCACTTTGATTCATAATGTTCCAAAGGATTATCTTCTCATGCCAGCATGAAACTGGGTTGAACCTAAGAGAGAAAGAAGACATGTGAATGATTTTAAATTAAATTGCTACCTATGCCAGACCAATTACTACAGGCGCACCTTGAAGATACTGCAGCTTGGGTTCCAGATCACTGCAATCAAGTGAGTATTGCAATACGGAGTTAAATAAATTTTTCTGTTTTCACAGGCAAATAAAAATAATGTTTACACTATAGTCTATTAAGTGTGCAATATAGCATTATGTCTAAAAATACCTTAATGTACATACCTTAAACTTTATTATTAAAAAGTGCTAATCATCATCTGAGCTTATCTTTTTGCTGTTGGAGGGTCTTGTCTCAATGTTGAAGGCTGCTGACTGATCATGGTGGTGGTGGTTGCTGAAGGTTGAGGTGGTTGTGGCGATTATTTCAAATAAAACAAAAATGAAATTTGCTGCATCGACAAATGAAATTTGCTGCATCGATTGGCTCTTCCTTTTATGAACAATTTCTCTGTAGCATGTGATGCTGTTTGACAGCATTTTACTCAGTGTAGAACTTTTTTTTTTAGTGTAGAACTTTCAAAACTGGACTCAATCCTCTCAAACTCTGCTGCTTTACAACTAAGTTTATGGAGTATTATAAATCCTTTGTTATCAACAATCTTCACAGTATCTTCACTAGGAACAGATTCCATCTCAAGAGACCACTTGTTTTGCTCATCCATAACGAACCCCTCAACCATTAAAAAGTTTCTTCGTAAGATTGCAGCAATTCAGTCACACCCTCAGGCTCCACTTCTAGTTCTGCTACTTCCACCGTATCTGCAGTTACTTCCTCCACTAAGTCTTCAACACCTCAAAGACATGCATGAGGGTTGAGATCAAGGTCTTCCAAACTCCTGTTCATGTTGATATTTTGATCTCTTCCCATGAATCGTAAATGTTCTTACTGGCATCTAGAACGGTGAATCCTTCCAGAAGGTTTTTGGGTTACTCTGCCCAGATCTGTCCGGGGAATCACTATCTATGATAGCTAGAACCTTACAAAATATATTTCGTAAGTACTAAGACTTGAAAATCAAAATTACTCCTTGATCCATGGGCTGCAGAATGGATGTTGTATTAGCAGGCATGTAAACATTAATCCCATTGTACATCAGAGCTCTTGGGTAAGCAGGTGTATTGTCAATGAGCAGTAATATTTTGAAAGGAATCTCTTTTTCCTGAACAGTGGATCTCAACAACGGGTTTAAAATATTTAGTACACCATGTTATAAACAGATGCGGTGTTCTATCTTGATGGAACACAGGCAGAACAGATTGAGCATAATTCCTAAAGGCCCCAGGATTTTTGAACTGGTAAATGAGCACTGGCTTCAACTTAAAGTCACCAGCTGCATCAGCCCCTAGCAGGAGAGTCAGCCTGTCCTTTGAAGCTAGACACTGACTCTTCGTCTCCAGCTATGAAAGCCCTAGACGGCATCTTCTTCCAAAAGAAGGCTGTTCTGTCCACATTAAACATCTGTTATTCAGTGTAGCCACCTTCAGGAATGATCTGAGCCAGATCTTCTGGGTAACTTGGAACTTCTACATTAGCACTTGTTGCTTCACCTCGCATTTTTATGCTATGGAGACTTCTTTCCTTAAAACGCATCAACCAACCTCTGCTAGCTTCAAACTTTCTTCTGCAGCTCCCTCACCACTTTCAGGCTTTACAGAATCGAGGAGAGTTAGGGCCTTGCTCTGGATTAGGCTTTGGCGAAAGGGAATGTTGTGGCTGGTTTGATCTATCCAGACCACTAAAACTTTCTCCTTATCAGCAATAAGGGTGTTTTGCTTTCTTGTGTGTTCACTGGTGTAGCAATTTTTAAAATTATTTATTTATTTATTTTTAAAGGTTTTATTTACTTATTCATTTGACAGAGAGAGAGCACAAGCAGGGGGAGCAGCAAAGGGAGGGGGAGGAGCAGGGAGCCCGATGCGGGACTCAATCCCAGGACCCTGGGATCATGACCTGACCCAAAGGCAGATGCTTAACCGACTTAGCCACCCAGGCGCCCCGGTGTAGCACTTTTAATCTCCTTCAAGAACTTATCTTTTTTATTTATAGTTTGGCTCTTTGGTGCAAGAGACCTACCTTTTGGCCTATCTTGGCTTTTGACTTGCCTTCCTCACTAAGCTTAATCATTTCTAGCTCTTGATTTTAAGTGAGATGTGTGACTTTTCCTTTCAGTCAACTGAATACTTAGAGGGCATTGTAGGGCTACTGACTGGCCTAATTTCAATGTTGCTGTGTCTCAAGGAATAGGGAGGCTCTAGGAGAGGAAAGGAGACATAGGAGTGGCTGGTTGATGGAGCAGTCAGAACACATTATTCATGTTCATGGTACCTCCAAAACAATTACAACAGTAACATCAAAAATCACTGATCACAGGTCTAATGAAAAAGTCTGAAACACTATGAGAGCTACCAAATGTGACAGACATGAAAGTGAGCAAATATTGGATAAATGGAACCAAGATACTTGCTCAAACACAGGGATGCTGCAAACCTTCAATTTGTAAAAAATGCTTATCTGCAAACTGCAATAAAGCAAAGCACAATAAAATGAGGTATGCCTGGGGCGCCTGGGTGGCTCAGTTGGTTGGGCGACTGCCTTCGGCTCGGGTCATGATCCTGGAGTCCTGGGATCGAGTCCCGCATCGGGCTCCCTGCTCGGCGGGGAGTCTGCTTCTCCCTCTGACCCTTGCCCCTCTCATGCTCTCTCTCTCTCATTCTCTCTCTCAAATAAATAAATAAAATCTTTAAAAAAAAAAAAAATGAGGTATGCCTGAAGTGATTTCAAATTAGATTGCTACCTACACCAGACTAACTAGTTCACAAAGGGCAGAAGATTACTATTACCCTCCAATAAAAAATGCCTTTTTTTTTTTTTTAATGAGCCTGGGTAGCTTAGTCAGTCAGGTATCCAACTCTTGATCTCAGCTCAGGTCTCAATCTCAGGGTCTTGAGTTCGAGCCCCGCGTTGGGCTCTGTGCTAGGCCACAGAGCCTATTTAAAAAAAAAAAACAAAAACCTTTTATTTTTCTAAAAAAAGTCTTATTCATACTTGAACTGATTTTTACTTCTTAGATTTACTTATCTGAAAGAGTGCACACATGTGCATCAGTTGAGGGAGGGGCAGAGGGAGTGAATCTTCAAGCAAATGCCCTGCTGAGTGCAGAGCCCAGTGGGGGGCTCGATCTTATGACCCATGAGATCATGACCTGAGCTGAAACCAAGAGTTGGATGCCCAACTGACCGAGTGACCCAGGCGCCCCTGAACGATTTTTAAAAGAGACGTTAAATATATATTTAAAAGTCACTGTGGCTGGATCTGTGGCAAAGTCAGACTAATGTTAAGTTCTCTTAAAAGTGCCCAGCAGGTTGAATGTCCTATACCCTATACCTCCTGCCTCTTGAAAAATCTTTTGGTCTTTAAAATCTGAGTCTTCACTGAACTCTACTTCTGAAATAATACATTATATGTTAATTGAATTTAAATTAAATAAATAAAAATAAAATCAAATCTGAGTCTTGCGAAATCTAGACGCTCAAAACAAAATACAAACCAAGCCATACCAAAGTCCAGCTATGATAATAATAGTTTCCTATGACTACAAGTTGCTTGGGCTAGGTGATTTCTTGTATGAGGCAACAAACTACTAAAAATAACCTGCTACTGGCCCTATCTAGTTTGTGGGGATGGTAGGAAAAAAAAGGTCTTTCACAAAAGTAAAAACAAAATATTGATTTAAAATTAAAGCACATTAAATTAAAATGATTCAAACCCCTGAATCAGGAGTGAATTGAAGGGAGAAGGGGAAAAGAGATTTTCCCACAATGAAGAGGGACTCCATATATCTATTAAGTATGAATTTTTGTGTGTTTCTGAAAAGAGGGAAAAAAGGTCATTCTTATAAAGTCGTCTTTGAATGGAACAGATTTCGTGGATCATGCATAAAAGCCCTGAGTCCTAGTAGGGATAATGGCTGCATTAAATGCTTAAGATATTTGCTTCCTTCTCTCATGTCCCCACCCCTAATTTGCATGCCTCACCACGTATTATAGTTGACCCTTGGACAACACCACGTATTATAGTTGACCCTTGGACAATGCGGAGGTCAGGGACACGGACCCCTTACACAGTCAAAGATCCATGTATAAGTTGGACTCTCCCAAAACTTAACTATTAATAGCCTACTCCTGGCTAAGTAACATACAAGCAATTAACATATTTCTACATTATAATGTTATATTTTACAATAAAGTAAGCTAGAGAAAAGAGAATGTTAAGAAAATCCTAACAGGAAATACACTTCTAGTACTGCATTGTACTTAGTGAAAACTACCTGTACAGAGTGGCCCTGGTGCAGCTGAAGCCTGTATTCGGGAGGCAGCTATACTGGGGAACATGCTCGCCAGCAGACTCCGTAAGCCTCACGGCACGAGACTCTGTACACAGGTGCCTGCTGTGCACTGCATCTAATCAATCTGAGGAGGGGATCTTTTTTTGTGGGAGTGAAATCTGGGTGCTAAGTCGTATCTTGAGTTAAAGTCCCAAGTCTAACCTGGTGACTCAGGAACTAAATTCTGAGATTTGATTTATCTAATGAGGAAGGTCAGGGAATTTCGGAGAGAGAACAGAGAGCTCTGGGTCCATCCAGCACTAACGGGCTGCCCATAGTAATGCACGGTGAAGCCGGGAGTACCTGACTGTACGGTTCCAAGCCGTCTCTGCAGTGCCTCTAGCCGAGTGATATAATCTGTCAGGGCTCTGTCAGGGTCATAATTCTGAAGCTGAGAACATGCTAAGGAACCAGGATTTAAATCAGCTGGAGGGCCTGGGTACCTATGAGATTAAAAATATGAACATGAATCCAAGTCATCCACAAAGCAAGTAACGTAACAACCTGCCTCCACCCTGCCCTCAAAAGGTCAATCTTTAACTTGAGCCATGAACATAGTAACTGATAACTGGCAAGAACAGTCAGAAGTCACATTTGAACATTTCTTTACGTGTGTCTGCTATTGGTCCATAGGTAGCAAAGTATGAGGCTTTGCAGACAAGTAGTTCTTGGTTTGACTATGAACTTCAGTTTTCTTATGTGCAAGGCTGAATGTGGATTAGAGATTCTGAATGTATATAACCCAGGATCAGAAAAGGTTCCCAGTAAATAATAATTACTTATTATAATTATAGTAAGTTATTAATTCTTATGTAACATATAATATATATCTAATATAAACATTATCAATGCCATCCCTATAATATTTTCCAGTGATCTTGCTAAGATTCAGATAATATTTTTACACTGTTAGGGTTAAAAACTAAAACTAGAGAGTAGAAATTGTAACTTTGCAATATTTCTGGTATATGGCCATGCTAAAAATAGACGTACGTAATCTGTTAGCTCTTGTCTGTTGATAATACCTGATGTGTTCTTCCAGCTTCATAACCATGTTTCTTAAATCATTCTTTTCTTCACTCAGTGGCTGATATGTCCTGTCAGGTCAGCATTTTGCCTCAGTAGTCTTTCAGTCAGTTAAGTCTCAGTAAGTACTCAGGAACGCTAAGCTAGGCTTACTCTGTATCCCCCAAATGTTTGAGTTTGTGATGTATATGGGAAAAAACTTCTAATAAACTCAAAGCAGCTACTAAGTCATCATAAAAGCGTCTAGTACAGTGCTTGTTGTAGAAGTCCTCGATAAACACTGTATATGTACAAATGCATCTTGTCATGTAGACTTTAGAGTATTCTTTCATAATCCCCAGAGACTGTCAATTTTAGTTAATACTTTTCCCAATGTCCGACCACAGCATATACTAAAATAACACATGGTCAGTTCGGTTTCCTTTCTTTTTTTTTTTTTTTTAAGAAATTATCATTTTTTAATTATGTTCAGTTAGCCACTGTATAGTAGATCATTAGTTTTTGATGTAGTGTTCATTGATTCATTAGTTGCATATAACACCCAGTGCTCGGTTTCCTATACCCTTGGAAACCAGGTATATATCCAGAAACTATTTTTGATTTTCAGCCTTAGATTATATATATCATATGCAACTAAACATACACCTAGTTATTTTGATGCAAAGGAGTCAAAGCCCTAACACTGTCCTCCTTTGTCTGTTAAGTATTAGTATATGTAACTACTCTAGGCATGTTTATCAAATCCTTACCTATTCTGAAAAGGTACAGGAGACCTAGGATAGTCCAGCTCTGATCTTGAGCGATATGTAGTGTGTCTCGGTTCTCCATATAGCTCCAGCCCACCAGAAGAATGATAAAATGGGTCAGTCTTTTCAGTGCCTAAAGTAATCCAAAATGTACCACATCATTAAAAAAAAAAAAAAAAAAAAAATCAAGCCCTTGAAAAATTTCTACAGAACAGAGATGGGCTAAAAAGACTACAATACTGTACTATACAATACTATCTCCTATTTATAGTCATCTTCAATTATTCTTCCTAAAGAAGAGAAAAAAACAGTAGAACTGTTATTTTCTTTTCCTTTGATTGTAATTATTTCTAATAATCTGGAACTATACCTCAAAGAAAATAAACTACTTACTTGGAATATTTTCTTTTTAAAAGACCTCTTCTTAGTTATAATTAGAGGTGAGGTGAGGGGTGTCTGAGTGTGTATGGTTTGGGGAAAAAGATGATGTGGATAAAAAATATTACATCACACCATCCTACCGACTTTTACTAGAAAAAAACTTGAAATCAAGATTTGCTAACTTATAACACAAAACTTATTATGGTGCAAATTTCAGCTCTTTCTGTGTAAGGATGCATATTTCAAGGCACTTTGCTTAGCGTACCAAACATATTTCCTCCTCCTCTGCTTAGCTACTGGTAGAATACGTAAAGGTGGTTTAATACCAATACATAGCTGCATTAATATAGTTATGCTGTGTGCCTGAAACTCTGTATACTCCCCAGTTTCTGAGCTCATCCATATGCCTAAAATATTGAAGTTCTAGTTTGTTTCCACTTTTAGGTGTAGAGAGAAGGAATTTTAACTGTTACCATTATATACAACCTATTTGTAAGCTCACAAACCTGAATACTGCTAAATTGTGAAAACCTGAAACCATAACTTCCGTATGACTAATAGCAATTCTATCTGGAATCAGAGCCTTAAATGCAGTTGTATGGGGAGTGGGGTCTAGAGCCAGACTGCCAGGGTTCAATGCTGGCTCTGCCACTTCCCACTGGGTAATCTGAGACAAACAACAAATGCTTTCCATGCCTCAGTTTTTCTTCTATAAAGTGAGAATAACAGTAGCCATACTTACATCATAGGATTGGGAGAATACATGAGAATACATGAGAATAATAAAAATTAGCTCTCATTACTCTTTAAAACAGCAAGGTCCCCAGCTCTGTTGGTTATAGGGTTCTCTGGTCTTTGGACAACAGTTTCCAGAACACTATTTGGAAGGCATTACAAATACAGTAATATTAAGAGAATCATAAACACACGAAATCCTATTTTGACTTCACCTGGATTCAGTCCAAAGCCATCCCTGTTAATATTGATAGAACCAGAACTTGTGACTCGTTGCCACCGTCGAACCAAAAATTTCATTCTAAAAAAGATGCCAAGAAAAAGTTTCACAGCACATCTATAATGGAAAGAGTATAATTATACATTTCCCACAAAAATAAAGTCATACATTTGAATATGAACACAGAACAAATTTCAACACAGTCACATGACTGCCTAATCTAAAATTATGCAAATGTCCCCTGGTTTGTGGCAAAATAAACTGGAACAGAACTAACTGGCTTCCCAAGAGGCCCAGAAATCTTAGGACCAGGTTCTGACTTTAGAGGTTTAGGACTCAAAGAGATGAAGAGCAAAAGCAAAAAAGAGAAAAGTGGATGGGCAAAGAAAGGGCAAGAAATAATGAAAGGAGAGAAGAATGGGGCGCCTGGGTGGCTCAGTGGGTTGAGCGTCTGCCTTCAGCTCAGGTCGTGATCCCAGGGTCCTGGGATCGAGTCCCGCATCGCTTCTCTCTCTCCCTGCCCCCTGCTCGTGCTCTCTCTCTCAAATAAATAAATAAAATCTTATAAAAAGAGAGAGAGAGAAAAGAATGGAGACTACAAAGCAAATGAGATGGAACGAGAAAAGACTCTTACCCTGGCAGTGAGACCGAGCTGGGAAAGCTGGAAGAGGAGTGAGGCCATGGGATCGGGGGTGAAAACCAATAAGGCTTTAAAAGGAAGTGGGGAGGCAGTGCAGCAGACCAGCTGTAGCCAGGTGCTGCCTGCCCTACCCTGGCCCAAGGAACTTTCTAAACACCAGTTTTGATTTCTTAATTCCAATCAGTTGCAAAGCTCAGTTTTAGGATGGTGAAAATACAACGAACATATAAGAGGACAAGAAAAAGAGGCAGTTAGAATGAAGTCTTTCAGTGGTGACTAGCTTTCAAGGAGCCTTCCCAAATTCTTCCAATAAAATTAATAATTACCTCCTGTGACCTGTCATTTAGTGTTTTCTAAGTTATGAGCATACTGGTCTTCCCCACTAGGAAGTGAGCTGCCTTTAGGGATTTAGGCAAGGTTTATATTTTTTTCATCATCAGTGCATCTCCCAGCATTTAACCCCGTACAGAGTGTACAAGGTGGTAAAAGGAATGGACGATGAGGAAGGAGAAACTGGGACAACCTGCCAACAATGTGGAATGATAGAGGCAAGGAGGGTCTCAGACTATTAATAAGAGAAAATGTGAGCTTCCTTTGCAGAGCCCACATGGATGAGATGTGGGAGCCCTGGCTGATTGTCCTACCTCTATCACTACTGGCTTTGCAACCTTTCCGGGCCTCAGTTTCCTCATCTGTGAGATGGTATTCTGAACTAGGTGATTTCAGACAGCTTCTAGTTAAAAACTTCTGTTGTATTTTTCAAAGGAAGATAGGTCAAAGAAAAAGGACAAAACCCTTTGAAGACTGTATGAGATGTGACCTGATAGGAAGCTTTAAAAACTAAAAATTCTTTTGAGACTGTCTGGTTCCTACATGAATAAAAGGGAGGGGAAGCATGGAGAAGCCTAGGGGTCTGGGTATGTATCACTCAAATGAGAGGACTGCAGGAGGCCAGGCCCTCAAGGGCGTTTGAGTCCGGGCTCCATTTCAGCCACAAACAGAATGAGTACCAGAGTTCCTAGCTTGGAACTACTACAGGCAGAGTGACAAAAGCACTAGCTCAGTCCAATGCCCTAAAGGCTAATCTGGGGTTCGGACGCAGAGTTAGGCCAGAGCTTTGTGGAGCAGAACCCCAAGAGTGGGTTATTTTAGCAATGAAGAAAATGAAATGTGTAGCCTAGTAAGTAAATTTTCAAAAACATTTTTTTCCCTTTTGTGATCCCTTTTATTTCTACATCTGAGGTAGTTCATGGACTTACTCAGAGTTAAAAAATAAAATAAAACAAAAAAACAATCCAGATTGGATGTGCCAGCTCTGAGTTACCAGCTGCCTGCATCTGGGGAGCCGTTTCCATAGGGTCTCCATGGTACAATGTAAAGTATCCCTGGCTAAAAGGATGAAAGAAAGAAGCCCGCATGTTTTAGTGATGGCAAGTGTCTCATACTGTATGAATACAGAGCACAATAGGCAGAGAAAAGAGAAGATTACAAATCTAAATCCTTTTAGAGTCTATCAAAATGCACTTTCTTTCCAACACTTTACCTTGAAATTGCCATGGACACTCTGACCGCTGACCGAAACCTGGTGAAGCCCTTTGGACGGTTGGTGATCACCTCGAGGTCAGTGAAGGCTGGCTGCCCCCCCATCCGGGCAAGCAGAGCCAGGGTGGCATCTTCACATTCCTGGAACCCACCCAGTAACAGCAGCAGGTATTTCTTCTGATAAATGAGAGCTTTCCGAAAACTTTCTGCCCTCAGGTATTTACCATAAATTCTCTATGTTAAAGAAAGGGAAGAACATAAAGACATTATTAAGAAGCCATTCAAATTGTTCTCTAGGGGAAGATAACCTAGATTTTATTTTAAAAAAAGTTGTAGTAGCAGAATGGCAGATATCCTACTACTGTTTTCTACTTGATCAGCAAAGTTGAAGGTAAAGATAACCTTAAATTTTACACTTCTCCCTCATTTTGGTCAGTGCAATGTGAATACAAACCTTATACTTAGGTTTTTGGTTTATTTCGGATTTTAGTCCCTAGTCATCATATTTACTGCAAATATTTTTGTAATTCCATTATCATCTCGGTTTTTCTTCTAACTGCATAGAGCTACTTTTATTATTAGTGTCACTAATCCATTTAACTTTTTTTTATTTAATGTTTCCAATGTTAATGTTCTCTGTCCCTTTAAGAGTCATAAATTTATGTTCACTCCATAGTTAAAAAATATTCCAAACATTTTTCTGTCTTTTTGTTTTGGATTTTATGTTAACGGATTAAAAGCTTTATTGCAATATTCATTAGAGTCAGTAGAGAGGCTGTTCAGAGGGCTTGCCATCTTACAGAGCGTGGTGATGCTCTGATATTGAAAGTAGTAGAGCTTTTGTTGGCAGTGGAAAAGAGAACTTTCTGTTATCTATTAGGGATGAGATGGGGGAAGTGGGACCATGAGCTCACGGTGCTGCCAAGAGGGCATGCCTTGCCACCAAGGTTTTGTGACCAGCTAGAGACCTGCATTCATGACACACACTCAACAGTGCGACCAGAGAGCCTAAGTGCCACCTACACTTCTTTACTCTGTTCAGTTAAGGTTAGTGAGAGATGAAACAAGGCAAAAGCAGAGGACCAGCTTTGGTACATGTTTCGATGGAAGACGTCTCCTACCTTTATAGCAGCATGCTCAGAATCAGGGCTCAGATTCTGAAGTAAAGCTTCATTTCTTAGTTCAGCTTTCAGTTTGTACACTTCAGCTTCTGCTCTTTTTAAGGATTTCTGAAGAGTCAATTTTTCTCTGTTCCAGACTTCTTTTTCAGAAGCAATGATGTCTTCAATGTTGGCACCACCACTGAATGAAAACCTAGAAGACTGCAGAGACCAGAGACTACTTACATGATTTTTAGGCATAAGTCTCTGAAAAATCTAAATTAAACACATTAAAGGTATCCCCTATGGGAACCTCAGCTTTCCAATCTCAGACTGGGAGAGTTCAAAGCCAATCTCAACTGACAGTAAAGAATATACACTAAATATATGGTCCTTTGCTTAGTAGATTAATTTTAAAACTAAAAATCCCTGTGAGAGCCTAGCCCAAAGGAAAGTGTTTAGATTTTGCAAAGCTATGAAAGAAAACAGTTTAGAGACTTAATAAATGGACCATCTGGGTTCAAATGTAGAGCCTATGCCTGAATCAGCACACTGGGGAAGTGGGGGAAAAACCACCCGGCATGTCCACAGAGAAGTGGATTGCTACAGAAGTTCTGTGGATGTGTTATCATGTATTTGACTGCACAATTGTCTTACGAGTCTTTCCTATCTTTATATTATATTCCTATCTTTATATTACAGAAGCTAGCAATTTATTTTGTAGTTTTTAACTGGAAAAAATTAAATAACTGCTAGAGTGGTTTATTAGACTGAAATATAAAATTTAATGGCATCTTTCACTTGAGTCACAAACACAGTAACTGATAAGAACAGTCAGAATTCACATTTGAACATTTCTTTACATGGATCCACTGATGGTCCATAGGTAGCAAAGTATCTGGCTTTGGTTAAGATAAGCAGTTCTTGGTTTGACTATAGACTTCAGTTTTCTCATGTGCAAGGCTGAATGTGGATTACAGACTCTGAAAGTATAGAACCCAGGATCTGGCCCAGAGAAGGCTCCCAATTATCACTGTCCTCTCGCTAACATTTTCCAATGATCATACTAAGAACCAGATATTTAATATTTTTACGTTAGGGTTAAGAATTGAAACCAGAGAGCAGAAGTTGTAATTCTGCAGTATTTCGAGTGTGGCCATGCTCAAATTAGACGTACATAATCTCTGCCAGCTCCTGTCTGTCGGTACCACCTGATCTGTTCTTCCAGCTTCATAACCGTATTTCTCAGATCATTCTTTTCTTCTGTCAGTTGGCTGATATGTCCTGTCAGCTCAGCATTTTGTCTCAGCAGTCTTTCAGTCAATGAGCCACTAGAAGTACCTGGGGACACTAAACTAGGCTAGAAAGATACAATGGAATTAAGGTCATGGAAGCATAAACAAACGTTTATGAACAATGCACATAAACATGTGAATGGGCACGGAGAACAAGAGATTTCATGAAGAAGTAGTGCTTGAGTTGAGTCTTAAATAACTAAGAAGAATTTCACAGGTAGGAAAGAAGACAGGGACGGGCATGTTAAGTAGAAGGAATAGCGTGTGTAAGGCACAGGGTTTTCTTTGAGAGTATGTTGCTTTTAGGGAGCTACAAGTGGCTTGGTAAGGCTAGAGTAAAGGCTGCCTTCACTTTATAGATAATAGACCTAAATGTAGGCAGTGGAGAACCATAAATGGCCTTGAGGCAAGAGTGCCACAAATAAAATTTATGTGTTAGAAAAATTCCTAGGTAGCAGCATGCAAAGTACAGTAAATTAGGGAAGATATATCCCGGTGTCAGGTGGACACATCAGGAAGTCATTACAATAGTTCAGGTGAGAAATAATAGAAGCCTGAATAAAGGCAATGACTAAGGGCACATGGGATAGATATTTTGGAGGTAAAAGCACAGGACTTAGTCACTGCTACGATACACGAGTGAAGTAAAGTGGTCTATGGTGACTTTCAACTTTCCAAACTGGGCGGTATCAGGACTAGAAATGTGGGTTGGGGACAGAAGAAGAAAAGAACGATGATGCTCAGTTTGGAACGTGCCTGTGAGGCTCCTAAGGGATCACTATGGGGTGCACTTCCTCAAGGAAAGAGTTCCTGTAATTAATGGAAAATACAAACCTGGACCACAGGATAGAGGTATACACTAGAACCACAGGCCACAAGAAGGTAAAGTCCATAAGGGTGAGATTTAAAAAAAAATTTTTTAATTAACATATAATGTATTATTTGTTTCAGAGGTACAGGTCTGTGATTCATCAGTCTTACACAATTCACAGCGCTCACCATAGCACATACCCTCCCCAATGTCCATCACCCAGCCACCCCATTCCTCCCACCACCCCTCCACTCCAGCAACCCTCAGTTTGTTTCCTGAGATTAAGAGTCTCTTATGGTTTGTCTCCCTCTCCAGTTTCGTCTTGTTTCATTTTTCCCTCCCTTCCCCTATGATCCTGTCTTGTTTCTCAAATTCCTCAGATCAGTAAGATTATATGATAATTGTCTCTCTCTGATTGACTTATTTTGTTTAGCATAATACCCTCTAGTTCCATCCACATCATTGCAAATGGCAAGATTTCATTTTTTTGATGGCTGCATAATATTCCATTGTGTGTGTGTGTTCTTTATCCATTCATCTGTTGATGGACATCTAAGCTCTTTCCATTGTTTGGCTATTGTGGACACTGCTGCTATAAACATTGGGGTGCATGTGCCCCTTTGGATCACTACATTTGTATCTTTGGGGTAAATACAAGGGTGAGATTTTTTTTTTTTTAAAGATTTTATTTATTTATTTGAGAGAGAGAGAATGAGAGAGAGAGCACATGAGAGGGGGGAGGGTCAGAGGGAGAAGCAGACTCCCCGCTGAGCAGGGAGCCCGATGCGGGACTCAATCCCGGGACTCCAGGATCATGACCTGAGCCGAAGGTAGTCGCTTAACCAACTGAGCCACTCAGGCACCCAAGGGTGAGATTTTTAACAGATTTGTTCATTGCAGCTCAGAATCCAGGATAGTACCTGGCACGTAACAAGTGCCTGCTATAAGTATTTGTTCAATAGGTAAGTCTACTGAGAACTCAGGCTGTGGGAATGAATGAGCTTTCACAGAGAAAAAAATGGACGAGGACAGGAGGAAGAGGAATTCATGAAGGTGACTGATGAAAGAAATGGAAGAAATAAGAGAATATTGTCACAAAAGGTTAAAAAAGAGAGGGTTTTTAAGATGGGAGAGGTCCAAAGCATCAAATGCTATAAAGAAGTCAAGGAAGACAGGGAATGCAAAGATTCATCAGATTGGTCAACTGTGAAGACACTGGTGGCATTCTGTGGGTGGTTTTGAGAGTGGTGAGAGTAGAAGCCAGGCTATTCTTGCAAGAAACTTGGTTATCACAATATAATAAAGTGTCACTATAATTACTCAATAATGATAATGAAAGTTAATTTCCCCTCAAATTTTTACTATCTTCTATTAGGGAAAGACAAATATTATTATTATTTAAAATAAATGAAAAGATAAAATTAAAACTCTTTAGAAAATACGGTGCCAGTTTCAAATGAGTCCTTTAGCTCCATTAGATCTTTAAAGTTCTTAAAGTCTTACCTCTTCCCCTGGCTGGCCAGTTAATTTCTGTAGTTGTAAAATAATTCCATCAATATTTTCCTGAACCCAAATGAAATCTTCGTCATCTGCTGTTTCAAACTGCAGTCTTCGAGAAAAAGACAAAAAGTCAAAACATACCTTTCTCAATTAGTGGTACTGACTAGCACAAACTTTACAGATGGACACTCTGCTTCACCTACCTTCTCCCTTACATTAAAGGGTTCTCTTTCCAGGGCTCAAGGGAAGGTTTTCAGGTGTATGAGTTTTGTTAAAGAATACCATCTCCTAATGCGAACATGCATTAACTTTGAAATTTCAATTCCCCACCCTTGGCTAACCATTAGCGAGGGGCCGGTTCTGACCAGCTTGTGTAAGAATGCCATTTCCAAAGTCAGAGGGAAAAATCTAACCTATTGGACGCTTTCCGGGCCAGATGCTGTAGTTTTAAAGCCACATGTTGAAGCTTTTGTCTGATGATTTCTAATGCACGATCACAGCCAGCTCCTCCCTCATTCATTTCAATCGGTTTAAGATAGCTTGATTCCTTTGTCTCTCCTTCTAGTTTCTGTTGAAGAACCCAATTTCTAGTTCGATCACTGGTTAAACTCCATGTGGATGGCTAGCAATTTTCGGCAGAAAAAGAAAAAGCAGTAATTATAAATGAACAGCAAATCACATTTTTTCTCAAGGGAACACAATTACAGTTTATACTCCAAATAAACTTCTATGAATTTCCTTTTTAAATCATTTGTTCGTATCTATTTTTATTTTTTTAGAAGATTTTATTTGAGGGCGCCTGGGTGGCTCAGTTGGTTAAGCGACTGCCTTCGGCTCAGGTCATGATCCTGGAGTCCCGGGATCGAGTCCCGCATCGGGCTCCCTGCTCGGCAGGGAGTCTGCTTCTCCCTCTGCCCTCTTCCCTCTCATGCTCTCTCTCTCTATCTCATTCTCTCTCTCTCAAGTAAATAAATAAAATCTTTAAAAAAAAAAAAAAAGACCATTTTATTTGAGAGAGAGAGAGACTGAGAGAATGAGTGGGAGGAGGGGCAGAGGGAGAAGCAGGCTCCCTGCCGAGCAAGGAGCCTGACACGGGACTCCATCCCAGGACCCTGGGATCACAACCTGAGCTGAAGGCAGACGCTTAACCAACTGAGCCACCCAGGCACCCTGTTTTTAACTATTTAAATAATTTAGTCCACTATCAAAATTGTATGTTCAAAGGGCTGTAGTGTTCTTTTAAAAAATATTTTAAAACAGTGTTAATTTACCTCATTAAGATTCTGATAGAGAATTCTTCTACTTTCTCGTTTTTCTTCTCGTTGTAGTTCTTGCTTCTGGAATTCCTGCATAATTCCCTGCAGTCGCTTTCCTTCAAGGTCTAACTTATAAACCTGCTGCCTTTTCTCTTCCAGCTGGCGCTGAAGATCTTCCACTTTGGACTGGAGCTCATGCATTTTTTTCTGTCCCTCAGTGTTGGCCTCTTGTTCTGTCTGCAACGTCTTCTTGTGAACCTGCCTATCCTTTTCCATTTGCTGTCTTGTTTGCAAAGAATCCAGTTTATATTTCTCGGTCTCATTTAACAATTCTACTATGCGACTGTGTTTCTCCTCTAGCTGTTTCTGTAGCTCTTTAAGGAGGTCCTCAGAGGGTAGGGAGGGCCGAGGCTGCCCACTATCATCATTGCTCTGCAAGTGAGCATGCAATTCCCGCTCCCTATCCAGGGTACTACTCATTTCCCGTATTCGAACTTTCTCAGATTCAAGAAGTACCTGAAGCTCTAAGTTTCGACCTCGTTCTTCTGATAACTGGGCATCATGTAGCACTCTTTGCGATTCTATTTTCTCCTGTGATTCATTTAGTAGTTGTTTCTGTTGTTCCAACAGTAGATTTAGCTGGATATTCCTTTGTTTCTGACCCTCAAGTGAAAATTTCAAATCCTTGTAGAAGAAAGTTGAATTTAAGAATTTGTTAATATTAAGAATTCTTTGTAAGTATACTATAATTCTACTTTATTAATACTAAGTTGGTAGTATTTGATAATAGAATTGATTATCCAGTTTATTAACTTAAACTTTCAGTGGTTAAAGCATAATTATTTGGATAGCCAGATGATTTTCATCAAAGACTATGAACAAAAGATAGATAAGCTAAATGATACTTTCTCTCCAAACATTAATCATGCCTACTCAAGGAATATGAAGCAGGGTATATTCCTTCTAGAAATAATGACTTTTAAAAATACAAATATTCCAATATAATGTGACAGGAGCTCCTGAAAAGCCTCATGTTGTTCAATGTCACATATTGAAAATAATAGGGCTTATGGGGAAAAGCAGGGTTAGGGACAAACTACTCAAAACTTACACAAATTTGTAATGATAAAAAATAGTAATCAGTACCCGAGGGGATATCATGTCCTTGCCAGGCAGAGAGCTCACTATGCCTGAAGGCTACCAAGATGGACATTCAAAAAAAAAAAAAAAACCCAACAAAACAAAACAAAATTTAATAGGGCAGAAATGCCAGCTACTTAGTTTTTTAGCATACAGCTAGGGAGCACCATGTGTGGATGGAACAAGAGCTCTGAGCCAGTGGGGCTACCACTAATGTGGGCACTGTGGGTGCAGAGTACAACCCGCCCTGAGCTGTGAGCTGTGCCTCTTTGGAACACAGCCCAGAATGAAGGGACTCATTTTCAGTTTTTAAAAAATGTAACAGTGAGGGCTCCTGCTGCCAGAGAGGTGTCACTGTTCCCCTTCCCTGGGAGAAAACAAGAACCAAGACTACTTTGAGTTAAACTGAAATGGATGCCCTATTTATCAAATTGTATATGCACGAACTCAAATTCCCCAAACACACACCGTAGCAGAACAGTCTGTATGCACCCCTGGATGTAGCCAAACAAAACTGCATCACACCATTAGCATTTCCTAGATAGATAATGTTTAGATAACATAATAGTATTCCATATACAGTGAACAACTTACTGTACCTCATAAAGAGTCTAAGCCTGACATTTCAGAAAGAGGAAAGTCTTGAGACTCTCCCTCTTCTGTTGTTCTGGATATTCCACAGACACGTAAAGACAAAGGTAACAATACCTCAAGTTCTTCTTTATCCCGCTCTTCACTGCGTCCTAGTTTGGCTTTCTCCTTCTCCAAAGCCCACTGGAGCTCTCTGGATTTTTTCTGTTCACTTGCTAATGTGTCATTAAGCAAATGTACTTCATCGGTTTTATCTTTAACTTCCAACCTAAATCAGAGACAATCGAACTTTCATAAAATTACTTTAACCGAGTTTATACTGAGAGAAAGAGAGAGCTTCCACTGAGAAGTGGAGGTATATTATAAACTAGTTAATAGGAAAATATAAGCCATGTAAAGATTAAAGATTTCTGACTGTGGTTTATTTCAAATTAACCGTTTCTAGCAATGCCACTATTAACTATTATTTAGCACTGTAAACTATTTTTACAAAATAACATTAATAAAAATTTTCCTTTGTCTTTTACTGAACATGGGAATAACCACTGTTCAAAATAAAGAATGACTGTCTTTGTAATGTGTCCTTGGCAAGCAGAATATCTCACTATTTATACCAACAATTTATCCTTTTCACAAGCATTGTATTTTAAAACATTTTGTACACTTTAGGTAGATGAACCACAAATTCTATTGAGATCATAAATATCACTTCAAATTACTTGGTGGTAAAATATTAGTCAAAGTTATATATCTTATACAACAATAAGTCTCCAATAGAACTGAACCCACAGTAGAGAATATGCCAATACCTAATCATGAATTTATCATTTGGAAAAATTTGGAGTTTTTCCTTTCCACTGTAATTTTTCCTATAAATAACAAAGTTTCAAGTTATTTACACATTATATATAATGTCATGCTGTTATAAGATCTGCACAATGTCTGTGACAAAATTCCTTCACTTCCTTCACCCAAATAGGTTTATAATAAGGAAGCCTGACATACCTGAAGGTCTCTAATTCCTTTAGGTGCTTATGTTGTGCCTTGAGTGTTGTTTCTAGTTCCAATTTAGTTTGTGCAAGTTCACTCTTCAGTTCAGCAACCACCATTTTCTCAGAACTCAGTTGTTCCTGCAGTTCTGCTGCTCTGTCCTTCACACTGCTGAGCTCCACTTGCATCTCCAGCATCTGAGACTGCTTCTGCTGTATATTATACTCCAAGAGTTCTAAATGGAAAATTATTAATACTTAAATTATGATCTTGCAACTCATATTTGGTTTATAAATATTTTATTGATGAGAACTGATTTTTAATTTAGGAGATTACTACAAAGCAAATGTGAAGAGATCACAGTCCCAAAGTTGGCAATTTATATAAATACGTATCATGAATACTTTCCTCATAGTGCTAATGGTCAAGATTTCAGAACCATAAATACATAAGGATGATAACAGTTTAACAGAATATTTAATCAATGCAAGACATGAACTAAAAGAAACTTCAGGTGTTCACAAATACTATATATAGAAGTGTGTATTTGCTCAAGCAGAATTTCAAGAGCTCCCGCTAAAAAATGCCAAAGGTTTTTGACAGCCACACAAAGCACTTGCAGGACTCTGGCATGTAACCATGACTACAGTGCTGAGCACGGCTTGCTGGTTTTGTTTAGCATTCCTTCGCAGACAGTCCCTAGGAACTTTACTGTCCTAGAAGCTTCGATTGTGGTTTGTTCTTTAAGCACAAACCAAACCCCTGCTATAGGTCTGTTACAATGAAAACAAGTGAAAATATTTAAATCCCTAAGTATAATAAATGAAAAAAGTGTTATGAAATATGCATCAGGAGCCTGCTTTTGCAAAAAATATAAACTTGTATACATATGGCATATTAATAAAGGTCTGCAGATAATAACAGCTGTTATTTTAGGATGCAGGAGATTCCAAGGGAGTAATTTTTACTCTATTCTTTTGTTTCTCCATTCTACCTTGAATGTGTTTTCAACTTAAAAAATTTTATCAAAGTTCATCACTTTATATTACAATTCACTGATGTTAAGAAAAAGGAATAACTTTGGCTTTAGAAGACAATCATGTCAGTTTAAGCTTTTTTTTTTTTTTTTAAGATTTATTTATTTTAGAGAGAGCACAAGCATGAGGGGCAGAGGGAGGAGGGAGAATCCCAAGCAGATTGTGCTGAGCGTGGACTCTATCTCAGGACCCTGAGATCATGACCTGAGACGAAACCAAGAGTTGGATGCACAACCCACTGCGCCACCGAGGCGCCCAAGTTAGTTTAAGCTTTTAAAACTATTTCTTAGAAGAAGCTAAGGATCGAAAAATATAAATATGTATCTATGTATTTTCAATGGGGTTCTATTTAACAATAACAAAGTAAAATAATACTAATCAATTCTCTAAAAATAATCTTCAATTAATCTTACATCTAAATATAAGATATACTTGTGATCTAATTACACCTCTTTTCTCTGAGATATTTTAAAATATTTAAATTTTTTAGTTGTTCAATGACAAATGTGAGACTATGGTGTAACTTTCCCAAAATTTGTAAAAGCATAGGTGTTTCTACCATTATATCAAACAAAACTGAAGACCAGAATGTCTCTTCACTAGATGTGATGAAAATTAGATTGTACTTTAATCCCTACTGATTTCCATCCGGAACTCACAGACAGCCCTACCAAAAAGTGGGGAAAATACAAGAATAAGCATACCACAAAGGCAAAAATCCAGCTAGCCAATAATCATATGACAAAGAATGAAACCACTTCAGTAATTAGAGAAATTACATTAAAATTACACAATTAAAACCACAATAACAATCTACTGCGTGTCCACCAGATTGGCAACAAAGGTCTGACAATGTCAACTATCGACAAGTAAGTGAAGCAACAGGACTCTCATACTCTGCTAGTAAGCATACGAATTGATAGGACCGCTCTGGATTACAAAATAAATGTGAAATGATGTATTCTATGACTCAGCAATTCCACCCCTGGGGGTATATATACCCAGAAAACTCATGCATGTATGCAGCAGCAACAGAGTATAACATAGTATAACAATGTGCAGAACAGCAGTGGTTGTAATAGCTAAAAAATAGAAATAACCCAAAACATTCAACCACAGAATGGATATATAAATTGTGGGAATTCTTTTTTTTTTTAAAGATTTTATTTATTTATTTGAGAGAGAGAGAATGAGAGGGAGGAGGGTCAGAGGGAGAAGCAGACTCCCCGCCGAGCAGGGAGCCCGATGCGGGACTCGATCCTGGGACTCCAGGATCATGACCTGAGCCGAAGGCAGTCGCTCAACCAACTGAGCCACCCAGGCGCCCCTAAATTGTGGGAATTCTATACAGTAACAAAAGCAAATGAACTGGAGATAAATGCAGTAACTTAAAAAAATATTATGGAGAGGTAGAAGAAGCAAGATACAAATATATACAGAATAACAAAGTTCAAAAGCAGGTAAACTTCAAACTTACATGGGTTTAGGAATACACAAATAGGTAGTCAGACTAAAGAATAATCAGGATAATGGTTACCTCTAGGTCGCCACAGTGTAGTGTGTTTGGGAGGAGCTTCTGAGGTACTTGACATGTGTAAAGTTTCCATAAATATTCACTTAAAGATTTGTTATACTGTGTATTTTTGCATTTTGCACTTTTCTCTATGTATATTATAGTTTACAATAAGAAAAGGATTAAAAAAGAAATAGTTACTTTCATTGTAGATTTCTTTTTCTTTTAGGTGGTTATCCTCACAAAGAACTTCAAAACAAAAAAAGATAATGAACTTAATGGGCTTGTTTTAAACAGCCTGATCAAAGCAATACTGTTCATTTTAAATTAAATATATCTGTTTAAAAACCAACTGGACAATCCTTTAATTCCCAGAGTCATTAATGTAGATTATTTCCATTATAGGAGAATGAGAAGAAAACGTGACTAAAAGAAAATGTGTTTTAAATGAATAATAATACAAAAAAGGGAAATAGAGTGAAATATTTCAACCTATTTGCTGCCACCATGTGAGCCTGACGTACAGCATACCTTGGCCTGGTTGATCATTTTCTTGTTCTCTTTTCAGAGCCATTTTCCTACCATTCATTTGAGCATGCAGTGCTTGAATTTCAGATAACAAACTCCTTCTGTCTGCTTTCTGGAGGCATTCCATAGCTGCTTGATATTCAATACTCTGTAATAATGCAAAGCAAAAAATCAAGTGAAGAGAGTTGTAAAGACAGTAATATTAACAATCAGGAAGTCTGAAAAAAAAATGGAACATACATGCTGAAATTTTGTAAAGATCTTAATTTTCTCTTCCTGTTCATTAGGATTTACTTTTTAATTATTAATCTTCATATTTACTTTGAAAATTTTCACACATACAACAAAATAAGACTATAATAAACACTCATGTACAGAGCTTAAGAAATAGCACCTATCAGCTCTATACAACTCCCTTAACACCTCCTCTGCACCACCTGCTTGAGAAATACTTAACACTCAACTTCTAAGTTTGGTGTTATTTTCATGTGCTCTGTATATTATGTCATATACACACATGTATCCTAAGCAAATACAGTACTGTTTTGCATGTTTTAAAACTTTATATAAATGGCATCATACGGTGTATTCACCTTAGTGTAATTTGCCTTTTTCATTTAGTTAATTTTTTTTTAAAGATTTTATTTATTTATTCATAAGAGACAGAGAGAGAGAGGCAGAGGGAGAAGCAGGCTCCCTGCTAAGCAGGGAGCCCGAAGCGGGACTTGATCCCAGGACCCTGGGATCATGACATGAGCCGAAGGCAGACGCCCAACCATCTGAGCTACTCAGCCGCCCTCATTTAATGAATTTAAGTGAATTTCATGTTGGTGAACCATCTGGGTTGACACATACAGCTCTATTTCACAATCATTTTCAATGTTATATAGTATTTCATAGTATGAAGTATACAGTACATTTATCTTTTCATATATTTATCGGATACTTTTTTTGTGCACCTATTTTTATCATTTGTTCATTTTTCCAGTGGTTGTTTTATTCTCACTGGATATTTGGTCAGTAGCTCCTTTCCTTATGCTGTCTTTGTGTGGTTTAAGAATCAGCAATGATGAGGCCTGGGTGGCTCAGTCGGTTAAGTGTCTGACTCTTGATTTCGGTTCAGGTCATGATCGCAGGGTTGTGAGATTGAGCCACTTGTCAGGCTCCGAGCTCAGCATAGAGTCTGCTTGAGATTCTCTCCCTTCCTCTCCCTCTGCTCACACGTGCTTTCTCTCTCTCTCTCAAATAAATAAATATTAAAAAAAAAAGAATCAGGGCAATATTGGCCTTATAGAATGGGTTGGGAAGTGTTCCCTTCTCTTAATTTTAAAAGAGTTTGTGAAGGACTGGTATTAATTTTTTAAACATCTGGTAGAATTCACCAGTGAAGTTATCTGATAATAGGCTTTTCTTTGTTTTATTTTCCCTTCGTTAAAATAACGAGTCACAAGTTATTTTTAATGGTATGCTACCTTTGCATTCCTGGATAAGTGTAAGGTGACTGTGTCTCCAAAAAATATACATGGATTTGGTTTAATATTTTGTTTAGGAATTCTGCATCTATGTTCATGAATAAAACAGGCCCATAAGTTTTCTTTCTTGCATTATCTTTGTCTGACTTTGATAACAGGGTTATATTAGCTTCTTAAAAAAAGCACAAGGCATTCCCCCAGTCATCCAACAATGGGAAGCATATGTTTAAGACTGCAATTAGTGATTCCTTGAATGTATGCTAGACGTCACCTGTAAAACCATTTGAACTTAGTGTAATTCTTGTGGGTAAATTTTTTTAAACTGTTTTTTATTTCATATTTTGACATAATTTCACCTATAGAAAAGCTCCAAAATTTGTGCAAGGAATCCCCATTATTTCATTCATCCAAATTCTCTAAATGTTAACCACATTTGCTTTACCACTCTCTTATCTCCGTGTGTATCTACACACATATACATCATTATTTTTCTTTTCCAAAATGTGTGAAGATAAGTGGCAGACAGATGCTCCTTTACCCCTAAAAACTGTAGTGTATATTTCCTAAAAACAAGAACATTCCCTTACAAACCACAGTACAATTATCAAAAGTAGAAATTAATCTACTACGATACTATTATTTTATGTACAAAACTTATTAGTTCCCATTTGCCCTTCAGCCAGTATTCTCTGATGATCACATCTTACATAACTATAGTACATTATCAAAACTAGGTTTAGATATTGGTACGATTCTATTTAAATCACAAGGCTTACTGAAATTTCATTAGTTTTGACACACATTCATTCATTTTCCTGGTGTATAGTACTACGAAATTTTATCACATGTGTAGGTCTGAGTCACCATGACCATAGTCAGGATACAGAACTGTTTCATCAACACAAAGAAACTCCTTTGTGGGCGCCTGGGTGGCTCAGTTGGTTAAGCAACTGCCTTCGGCTCAGGTCATGATCCTGGAGTCCCTGGATCGAGTCCCGCATCGGGCTCCCTGCTTGGCAGAGAGCCTGCTTCTGCCTCTGACCCGCCCCCCTCTCATGTGCTCTCTCTCTCATTCTGTCTCAAATAAATAAATAAAATCTTTAAAAAAAAAAAAAAAAGAAACTCCTTTGTAGTCACATCCTTTCCCCAGCCATAACCCCTGATAACCACTGATCTGTTCACTATCACTATAATTTTGTCATTTCAAATGTTATATAACATATAAGAAGTTTAGGGTATCAACAGTCCGTTCCTTTCTAACTGCTAAGTAGTATTTCATTGTATGGATGTACTTTAATTTGTTCATCCATTTACTTGTCAAAAGACATTGGGTTGTTTCCAGTTTTGGAGTATTACAAATAAAACTGCTATGTATATTCTTGTACAGATTTTTACGGAGACCTAAGTTTTCATTTCTGATAAATACCTATGAGAGTGTGACTACTAGGTCATACGGTAAGTGTATATTTAACTTTATAAGAAAATGCCAGTTCATTTTCCAGAGTGACTCTCCCATTTTACATTCATATCAGCAACGTATGAGATGCAATTTCTCTGCATCCTCACCAGCACTTGGTATTTCCCTAATTTTTATTTTGGCCATTCTGATAGATACATAGTGGCCTCAATTTGTTTTGGTCTAATATATGCTTGTGAGTAGATTTTAGTTACGCACAAAAGTGAGGTAGTGTACTTCATATCAGGAAGTACATGGTATCTAGTTTGTTCTATTACTGGTGATATTAATTCTGACCACTGGTATCTGTAAGGTTTTCCACTATATAGTTATTGCTTGAGTTATTACTATAATGCTTAATAAAGGGTGATCTAGCTTCATCATTTCTTCTATCTACTCTCTGGCATTCTATTGCAAGAAAGAATTTTTATGCATTTATTTATATTAGTATGAATTCATGAGTTCTTATTTTACTCTTTGGTTTATAATCTGTCACTACCATTATTTAGTATGATGTTCCAATTGTCCTAAATGTGGACGCTGGGAACTCCTTCAAGTTGGCTTCTGTGATCTTTTGACATCTCCCTTTCATTCTCTGAGAAAGTCTTTGTCAGCAAAACAAGATATTCCAGGTTCATCTTGTATGTCCCTCTGCTCCAGCCCAGGAATCAATCATTTCTCTAAGGAGTCCTAGCTCCCTTTAATGGAGAATGTAGTTAAAAATGAAGATCTGGGCACTAAGTGTTGTTAGTAGTCTTTTAACTATGAATTTGATTTTTCTTTTCTTTTTTTTTTTTTTTACTAGTTATAGGACTTTTCAGGTTTTCTATTTCTTCCTGAATGAATTTGTAGAAGTGATTATTTTTCTAGAAATCTGTCCATTTCACCCAAGTTTTTGAATTTATATAAAATTATTCATAATATTCTATTATTTTATATCTGTTATCTTCAGTTATGATCCCATTTTCATTCCTAACTTTTATAAAAATGTGCTTTACCTTTTTCCTTAACCGATTCTCCAGAAAAGTTTATTATCCTTTCAAAGAAGAAACTCTTATGTTTTTATCTTCTCTGTTGTATCAACATACCACATTTCACTAACTTCATTTTTCTTTATTACAGTTGAACTTCATTAATTGTGGATTGCGTATCTACGAATCTGCCTATTCACTAAAATTTATCTGTAACCCCAAATCAACACTTGAGGTGCTCTGACAGTCATTTGTAAACATGCCAAGAGGGGCAAAATACTTAAGCTGCCACCTGAGTGTAGCAGCTGAAGTGGAACTAGGTGCCGTTCTGCTGTTTTCTTTCATCTCTTATACTACAAACGGTCTCCTTTTTGCCATCTATTCAGTGCTGTTTTTTTGAACTTTTATGCTCTTTATTGGTGACTTTGCTGTTTAGAATGGTCCCTAAGCACAGAGATGAAGAACTACCTAGTGTTACTCATCACAAGAAGGCTGTATTTTATGCAGAGACCATATGTGATAAATTTCATTTAGGTGTGAGTTACATAGTACTCTTGGCCATGAGTTCAACGTTAATGAATCAGAAATACCTAGTAAAAAAGGTATCTTTAAACAAACACATACAAAACAGAATTATGTATTGATTGGTTGACAAATGTCATAACCAGGGGTTCACAGGAACCTACCCGTGTATTTTCCCTAGTAGCAGTGGCTCAGCATCCACAGCAACTTCACAGAATCTAACTATGGCAGACAACAAGAACTGACCATAGCTTACTTCTACTTTCTTTGGGCTTACTCTGTTTCTCTTTTCTAACTTCCTAAGTTGGATGAATAGCTCCTTAATTTGCAGTCCTGCTTATTTTCTAACATAAGATAAAACATTTAAGGTAATAATTTTCTTCTAATATTCTTAGTGGCTCCTGTTAAAATTTTAACTTTCAGACCTTCTCCAAAAGTAATCAATAACTCACTTGCTTATTACTATTAAAAAGCATTCTTTGTTTCAAAGTTTTATTTTGATACCTGTTCTTGTATTCTCTGTTCCAAACAGTTTAATAATCCAACTGCATCTCTAGTACCTAGAGCTGTCAGCTCAGTCTGAAATGCAGCTAGTAAAACACTGCGCTCCTTTAAGAAAACTTGCTGAAGAGCAAGCAGGAGTTCACCTCGCCAGTCTGGGGGGCTCTCATGAGACTGGGAACCATCATAAACCTAGCAGAGTATAAAAAAACAAAAGTTAGTTTTCAAATAAGCATGTTTTAAAAAACTCTAAAAATGGTATTTATCTACCAACCAAAATGAATAGTAGAACCCAAAAGTAAAGTATGGATTTGCTTTCAAGTGTGTGGCTTGTTGCATTTAAATGATACATAGTAATTCATGTGTAATTACATCATAAAAGACAACTGAATCTGTAAAGTGCCTTACTATTAATAAAAATTATATAAAACTATTAAGATGCACAATATTGAGTACCTCGGCATCTCTTTGCACTTGCATTTTCGTAATTAAATCCTTAAGAGATGAGATTGTACTGAGATAAGCTCTTCTTTCTTCTAGCCAAGATTCTGACACTTGCTGAACAGAATGGTCCTCTCCATCACTATAGGGAGACTCAGTGAGGGAAAGCACCTGCATGCCTTCATTATGGACAGCTCTCAGTAATCCCTAGAAATGAAAACCCAAAGGCCAGAATTCTGACAACTTCTTCAAAGACAGACATACAAAGAAACAAATTTTAAGTAAGGTAGCTATATCTAGCTAGATTGACGTAGAAGAGCCACTGCAAGAAGAAAACACCAGGCTACCATTACTGGTTGCCTTCTTATGGAGGGGTAAGCCAATCCAGAAGACAGTCTATGACTCTGTGTAGTTCTCACCTATAAGTTCCTTCTATTTATCTAATGGGCTCTTCTTGGATTAATGATTAACCACAAATTTGGCCAAAAAAATAAGAGATAAATTCTAGTTCTTGAGATTGCTTTAATAATTTTAGCACTCAAAAATCCCAGGAATAAAAACTATTTTTAAAAATCTTTAGACAAAAAATTATTAAATATATTGTACTTTATTATCTGCAAAATACAGGAATAACACTAAACAGATCCCCAAGATTCCTTCTTGCTATGTAAGATTCTCCTCAGAGAATGTTATGTTTTCTCTCTGAGGAGAATCTTACTACGTAAGTTCTAATAAACTGCTGTGTTCAATATAGAAACCACACTGGCTAAGTTTCACTAAAAGATATTTTGTCTTTCAGTACCTTTATTTTCTTTGGAAATGAATCTGTTGAACCTTCCCCTTCATCTCCTCGGTCTTCTGATGCTGTGTCAAACCCCTGACTTTGTGTAAGATAAATTCCTTGACCCCAGTCTGATCCAGAATCTAAAATAAAGAAAACCACCACTGACTACTACAAAGAAACAAATACTTTTTAAGTAAGTACTACAAAAAGGTCAGAAATTTATATAACTTACCACTGGAACATATTTCTCTAGTTTGGTAAGCATCAGAATGTGTTAATTCAGGAACTGAGGATCCCTATTTAGAGAAAATAAAAGAATACATAACATTTTTTGCCTTAATAAAAATAAAAATAGGGCCCAATGAATAGTTTTGTTCTTTTATAATGCTGTCAAAAAACAAATGAGAAACTCAATTAAATATGCCACACGTTTTACAATAAATGGAACTATCCATGGTTTAAAAGTCTTCAATTTTTTTCCTAATGGATATTACCATAAAAAGACATTCATGAGTTAAGGAATAATATAGTGTTCCAAATCTGCAGAGGAACTTTGTGGAAAGTCATTATCTGACTACACAATGGAAAGATTTAAAACTGCAATTTTATCATAAGGAAGAGACTACCCAAATTTCTTTTTCTGTTAAAAACAAAGAATTTGGGGGAAAAAACACAACATTGAAAAAACACATATTATGAAAACCAAGTACCTCTTTAGATCTCAGACACTGTATCACTGCCTTCAAGGTACCACATTCCTCCGTCAGTAACTGTACAGCAACATAATGCTCCCTCTTTAAAGTTTCAGTTTCTGAAATATGTCTGGATTCCATATCCAAAATTTCAGCAGCATGTAGTTCTTGCATCTGCTCAACTTTTTCAGTAAACTGACTGATTATTTCAGTGACTTCTTCTGAGGAACACTCACTCTGTAAATCAATTTGGATTCCTGCATTTCTAACAAAAACTTGTGGAGTCTGACTGCTGCTATTGACCTTGAGAGTCCCCTCTGTCTGGGATGCCAGACTTTTACCCACTTTAGTGGGACGTGGCTCTAATATGCACACTTTTCTGTTTTCTTGTACCTCAGTCTTATCTTCTTTTTCTAAGAAGGAGGATAATTTCTCTTTTGCTTCCGTGAGCTGATTCCTAACTTGGCTTAAATCTTTCTGGAGAGATGCCATATTTGTTTCTTTTACCTAGAACATAATGAAGAGAACAGAACATTCAATTAAAATATTAAATATAGAATTTAGGGCAAAGAGGAGAGAATATGCATGCTAATATGTTCCTTTTCCTCAGAATAATAGGAAATATATTTCAGAAACACTCATAGATTCCATATATATTTGTATATATGTATAGTCATAGATTACCATAGAAGTGAAATTATTTTATCAGCCTCTTTTGGTATTCATGGGATATAGAGTTCTCTTTAACATCTGTCTTTCTCCTTGTTCATTAACAGACTAGAGACTAAAAGCATCTTTCTATAAAAGATTCAAGGAAAACTAAGCAAGAACATGCTAGTAAAGAAATTTATATTAACTTTTCATCAAAGCCACAAATTTTTTTTTTCCAGCTTTTTGGTTTGTTTTTATAGAAGAGAATATACTTTGAAATGAAATTAAGATATGTATAAATAAGTGAAATAGGAGGAATGTTACTTATTTTACCAAAAGCTCTTCTTGAAGCTTTTCTGCTTTCTCTTTATAATTGGCAAGTTCTTCTTTGATAGCTGATGATTCAGCTCTAAGAGCCTCAAGTTGACAAAAAAATCCACTTTCTTCACTGGTATGAACAGGCTTAGTACTTGTCTGAACGGCAGTGGAAAACATTTAAAAACACATTATTTTCAAAAAATACAGCCAAGTTCAAAGCACTTATACATTCTTATGAAGCTTTTTCTGGAATGACTGCTTATCAGATAAAAGGGTGTAGAAATGATTCATGTTCTTTCAACAAATAGGAAAACTTTTTTAGGAACTATCATTTTATGTTCTTGAGACAGTAAAAAAAAAAGATTTTCTGGGAATGAAAGATATATCATGTTAGTATATATCCTAAATATTTATAAATTTATAAATATTATAAATTATGAGTGAAAAGACTGTTATTTATATCACTTTCCTCAAAAAATGCCAAGTCTTACTAAGATATTTCTTACAAGTTTTAAATACATTGAAAGTCATGTTAATATTTTAATATGACTACAGGAATTTATACTTCTGGGTAGCTAGGAGAAAAAAGCCTATTAAATGGAAAGAATCATACTTTGTAAAGCAAATTATATATTTATAGAATCTTGATAATGTTAGTTAATTGCCTAGTATTCAGGTAAGACTGTACATTAATACTCAAAATTATAAATATATAAAGGGAGAATTTGAAAATTAAAGTCCTTCTATCTCTACCCTATGCTAAGAAATAAATGCCATTTCAGATCTTTACATAAGTAGACTTATGAGGGTAAAATACAAATTATTTCTAAGAAAGGAAAGAATCTGTTATCAGGTATAAAATCTGCAAAAGCTAATGACTTATCACTGATATGTTACTTCAGTAGAATACTAATATATTTTGATATTTTCTATTACTTAAAAGGAATGCTTAAATAACACGCATGTTAGATAGAACAGGAAAAAAACCCATACAAGTTCCAAAGGACATTTGTTTGCTAAACTTAACATCTCTAACTTCCTTCTGATTGCTCTACTTAATGAGTATGCTAGTGAAATAAATAACACAATTCAGGGTGCCTCGGTGGCTCTGTTGGTTAAGCTACTGCTTTTGGCTCAGGTCATGGTCCCGGAGTCCTGGGATCGAGTCCCACATCGGGCTCCCGGCTCAGCGGGGAGCCTGCTTCTCCCTCTGACCCTCTCCCCTCTCATGCAGTTTCTCTCCCTCTCTAATAAATAAATAAATAAATAAATAAATAAATAAATAAAATCTTAAAAAATAAATAACACGATTCAAAGACCACATTATTTTAGTGATAATAATATGACTGTACAGAAAAGTAGTATTTTTATAAAAACCCTCTATATATGAATTGCTAGATATAAAGAACACCATGTTTAATTTAGTAAATTAGTAATCAGCTTAAGGAACAAAGAAAAAGAGAATTCCTACGGCATTTAAGTGAAAAAAAAAACAAAAAACAAAAAAAAAACAACCTAACCTTGAGAACTTCAAAATCTCCTTCAGGGCTTCTTTTCCTTTCTTTACCTCCCTCGTTTTTCTCCTCCTCCAGTAACTTCTGTAGTTCTAGTAGCTTCTTTTCTTTTTCCAAAGCATTTTTCTCCACAATTTCTACCTGCTTTTTTTCTAAAATCAAACTAGTCTGCATTTCAACCACCTGGCTCTCTAATTCTGATATTCTCAAGGTTAATGCTAATACATCTGGTTCCATCTCATTGTCTGTTACTGGATTTAAGTTCTGTACATTTGTTCTTTCAAGTTCTGATGAAACTGCTTGTTCATCTTGACAGAATTTTGCATATTCCTTAACTGCTTCAAGTTGGACTTGACTCACAAGAGCAGCAGCAACTTTTTCTTCAAGTATATTCTGTAGATTTACAATCTTCCGTTTAAGCATTTCTGTTTCAGACTGGCCTTGCTCTTGCATGTCCTTTATTTGTTTGTAACACTGGGTGAGTTCCAAGTCCTTTGCACTCACAGTGCCCTCAAGTTGTAGCACCTTTGTTTCCAAACTGCTTATTGAACTTCTGCTGTTTTCTTCAAAAGATGTGAGGTAAGTTTGATTTTCTAGGGGTTTAAGGGCATTCTCAGTAAGGTGAACTTTCAGTTCAGGTTTGGTTTTGCTCAGGTCATCTCTGTCCGTATTAACACTTTTCTCTGGTGCACTTTGGATTTTTTCCATATTTTCACGTTCTCTCTTTAAGCTGCATAATTCTTGTGTTAGCTGGTTCATTTTTAAATTGGTTTCTTCAAGGACATTTTTTGTAAAAGCCATTTCTTCGTTAGTGGTTTCTACTTGCTGTTCCAAAGCCAGTTTTTCAGCTATTACCATATCCAACTGATGTTTTAAACTATCTGCTTCTTCTGGGAAAGAGACAGCATCCACTGATGTCTTCTGTTCAATATTTGCCAATTCCTGTTGAAGTTTTTCAATCACTTCATTGAGCTGTTCAATTTCTTCTTCCCTATTTTTCTTCACACGTTCTTGATCACTCATCAAACATTCTATTTGGGTTTCAAGATCCCTTATCAGTTCATTTTTTTCTTCAATAACCTGTTAATGAAAACAAGTAACAGACATAATAAATATGTATTTACATTTTGGGAATTTTATTTTTTATTTTAAGGGCAGAATCTCAAAAGGGTTGATCTCACACACACAAATAATATACTTCTCAGACATGTTAGATTAATTTTAATATAGACCAATAGTCCCCATCATATCAAATAAGGACCTTACTTCTAACTTTGTTCAGAAAGTTTTGGTGATGGGTATTAAAGAGGGCATGTACTGAATGGAGCACTGGGTGTTATACACAAACAATGAATCATGGAACACTACATCAGAAACTAATGATGGTAATGTATGTTGATTAACATAATAAAAAAAAAAAGTTCTGTTAAATCTAAAGTGATGTACACATTAGCAGCTGATTTCCCATAAGTAAAATAGTCAATATCAATACATTCCTATTGAAGAGGATTAAGTATTAAAATAAAAATGGTCCACAACAGTGTTATTATCTTATTCAATTCATATCAAATAGAAGAATTTTTAATAGATTTGGTTAGAATGATATGGTGAAATCTGAGTCACAAGAGATTCTCTGGAAAACATCAAAAATCTTCGACAATATTAGGAGGGAATAAAAAATATATATAGCTTGGTAAGCCAATGTGTCTTCTTTTTTTTTAAGATTTTTAAAATTTATTTGAGAGGGAGAGACAGAGAGAGAGTGTGCCCAAGCACACAAGAGCAGGGGGAGGGAGAAGCAGCAGGGCTCGATCCCAGGACACTGGGATCATGACCTGAGCCGAAAGCAGATGTTTAACTGACTGAGACACCCAGGTGCCACAAGCCAATGTGTCTTTTTTTTTTTTTTTCAAAGATTTTATTTATTTCAGAGAGAGAGAGACACAGTGAGAGCAGGAACACAAGCAGGGGGAGTTGGAGAGGGAGAAGCAGGCTTCCCGCTGAGCAGGGAGCCCAATGCGGGGCTGGATCCCAGGACCCTGGGATCATGACCTGAGCTGAAGGCAGACGCCCAATGACCGAGCCACCCAGGCGCCCCAAGCCAATGTGTCTTAATAAATTAAAATTAATGGGTAAAAGAGAATTAAGGTTTATTCAGTTTTTATACTCAAAGAGAAGCTGAAAAATAACCATTTGCCCTTTAAAATTCTAGCTTATTTCATGTAATAATTTTAAACTGGTGTACCTTATTATCTGTTGTAATTTCAAGTTGATGTTGAAGTTTTGTAATTTGCTCATTTAATCGGTCAATTTCTATTTCTTTTTCCTGCATTATTTGAGCAAATTTTCCAAACAACCCATGTTGGTCCTGAGTAGAGATAGCATCAGATTCCTTTATGGCAAATCCCAGTTTCTCCATTTCATCCTAGGGACAAAAATAACCATCCAGTTGGATAGATCATTACATGTAATTTTCTGAATATTCTTTCAATTAAGTGTTATAAAAGATAAAGTGCCCAAAATGTACAAATAAACAAAATCAGCTATCATACAGTAATTATAAGTCAATAATTCTTAAAATATTTTGATAAAAGTTCTCAAAAATTTTTCATTCATGATGAATTCAAATGTTTATGTTGGGTTAAAAATAAGTTCCTTGCAAACCCATTTGCAGCTAATGTTCCTCTGTTAAGTATTATTCAGCAGCTAGACTCAGCAAATGCTTGATACTAAGACAAAAATTATGAATTATTTATAGGCAAAGTTTTTCTTAATTAATTACCTTAAATAATTTGTTTTCTTGTTCAAGTTCTTGGAGGCGGGTAGTAGATTCCTTTTTCTGTATTTCTAATTGCATATGTAGTTGCTGAACTTCTTCATTCTTATTTTCCAGTTCCTCTCTAAACTGCTCTAACTGTTCTTCTAAGTTTGTAATCTTTGATACCAAAATTATCAAAAGGAAAGAGAAAAAAAATACCTGTTTATACAAATGTTTGTCAAGAGAGAATGCAAAGTACTAAATTAGCCGTATAAAACATATATACTTAAGACATATGAGCCATGAGAATAAAGGGGTTTCTCTAAGCCAGGTATAACTGTGTGGCTCCTAGGTATTTTCAAACTGATCACCCTTAAATCATTCTACTCAAAGCAAAGAGAAGACCTTCAGAGAAGGGATTCAAGGGGCCATTTCTTACCTAAAATATTCTCTGACAGAGCAGAAAAAAGTCAAGGGAGGAAGGGAAAGAGTCCACATTTTAAATCTTATTTCATGTTAAATTTAGTTGCTATCAAAAGGTTCAAGAAAGCTGCAAAATTAAGTCAGTTGTTTTGGCTACCAAGTGAGACTAACTCAAATTAGTCCGTACTAATACTTAACCTAATGAAAGGTTTGGCTGTATGTGCCTCGTTTAAGTAGAAGAAAGGAGAGATAGACACTAAGACTGTGAGATCCTTAGGTCTGAAATACAGAAACTTAAACAGCAAGTTATTAATACCATTTTAGGATAAAATTAGAGAGCACCTATGTGTAGGACAATAGAAATGTAGCTCTTTTCTGAGCACAGATTGCTGTTAATGATAAAGCAATTACTCTGTAATAGTTATATAGAGACTGAAATTAATGCCGAGTTTCAAGAGCTAGTTATCATTATACTTTAAAAGTTGGGCTTGATTAAGGAATAGTCATTTAGCTCAATGCTGAATGGATTTCCAAATGTGTATTTATCTGATGATCAAAACTGCTGCATTAAAAGCAACCTAAAATGCAGGAGCAACATTATTCAGTAGCAGCTGGCTCAGAGGGCAGCCTATAAATCATTTATTACCTTAGAACTTGAAAGGAACCATATGCTGCTTACACCCAGACATGTAATCAGAATTGTATCTTAGCACTAGCAAGGCAAAGCCCCTTAACAGAAATAGTACTGATACTAGTAATAGTAGCCATCATTTATAGACAATTTATTGCTAGGTATTGCATAAGGTGCTTTATATGTATTATTTTTTTAAAACTCTGTATGTAACAACTTATGAGATCTTTACTTGGATTATCCCCATTTTGGAGATGAGGGAGTCACTGAGAACAAAGTACCTTGTCCTGAGGTCACAAGGCTAGTATGTATGTGGTAAGGAGTTTATCTTTGGACCTTTACTTTTTTTTTTTGGTAAGATTTTATTTATTTGAGAGAGAGTGAGCAAGCAAGTGACGGGGAAGGGCAGAGGGAGCGGGAGAGAAAGAATCTCCAACAGTATCCCTGCTGAGTGAGGAGACCGACAACGTGGGGCTTGATCCCGTGACCCTGAGATTGTGACCTGAGCCTAAATCAAGAGCCGGATGCTTAACCGACTGAGCCACCCAAGCACCCCTGGAGCCTCACATTTTTAACTATCATTTATCCTGCTTATAATAAGTAATGTCCAAAACTTACACTTAAATTATTTTCTGTTCACTGGTATTAAATTTAGTAGACACACCTTAGATACACTTAGTAGTTGTTCATATATAATTATCAGGTTGGTTTGCTGAAAACTGCGGTGATTTTATCTTCTTCAAAGTTATCTAATACAGTAGTATTTATACCTATCCCTATCTTTCACAGCTACTTTTGATGAAAAGTATTACTTCAGTATATATGTAGACATTTAGGTTCAAAATTGATGCTCTACCTCAAATGCTATTTGTTTTTTTGGGTACATCTTAATCCTCTTCACCCTCCCCCCACAACCCACCTCCTCTCTGGCAACCACCAGTTTGTTCCGTTTTTTCGTTTATTTGTTTTTACTTTCTTGATACAGGAGTTTATGGTCAAATATTCAATGTGACCTAAAGCCTTGCTATTCAAAGTGCTGTCCCTAGAGCAGCAGAACTGGCATCATCTGGGAACATGTTAGATGCCCAGACTCCGAAGCCCCACGCCAGATCTACTGAATGTGAATCTTCTTTTTAACAAGATCCCCAGGGGATTCATGTGCACATTAAAGTCTGAGAAGCACTGGCCCAAAGCACTAACATTTCTAAGAAGCTGAATTTGAGTCATCACAACAGAGACTTCAATTCCCAAAGATGACACTGTAGGATTCTTCCCTCCTATTCAGCCAGACTCCAATTTCAGTCCCAGGCTGTCCTATTACTGAGTCTACAACAACCAAAACCACAAGAATATTCTTAAAGTTTTAAAATAGAACAGTGGCTCTTTGTTTTAATCTTGTTTAATTTAGCTACCATATGTTATCTAGACTGGATTATATTAATTTGCAACTATTTGTGTTTTCTTTTATCTTTTTTATCTCTTTCAAATGTGTATATGTCTTCTTGGTTAGACATTAGATTCTTTGAAATCTGCTGCTGGTTTTACAACTGGATAGTGGTAGTCAACATGTGTTAAGATCTCAATAAATGCTGAGTGACAGTCTTTAATACTTCTCACCAACAAGGCAAAATATTCCCTAATTCTTTGGCAGTACAGCATTACAGGACTCCAGAATCAGAGAAATCTAGGAGGAATGCTTGCTCAACCACTTACTGTGTGACCATGAACAAGTTATTTAACCTCTCTTAAGACTCAGTTTACTCATCTGTAAAATGGAGGTAACACTAGAGCCTATCCTTAGGGAAACTTTAAGGATTAATGAAATTAGGTTTTTAAAATACCACTTTCTAGCACAGACCTCCACAAAGGTAACTACTACCATTTATTACTGCCATCTATAAGCTAGATTTCATTAGCTCTATAGAGAGTTAAAACCTATTGAAGGCATCTTTTTCTTTTTTTTTTTTAAGATTTTATTTATTTATTTGACAGAGACAGAGATAGCGATAGCAGGAACACAAGCAGGGGGAGTGGGAGAGGGAGAAGCAGGCTTCCCGCTGAGCAGGGAGCCTGATGCGGGGCTCGATCCCAGGACCCCGGGATCATGACCTGAGCCGAAGGCAGGCGTTTAACGACTGAGCCACCCAGGCGCCCCAAGGCATCTTTTTCTTAAAGAAATTCTTCCTTCTATTTCTCTCCACATTAGTCCCCTTCTCTTATCACCCTAAAACTCCTATCTTTAAAGTTTCTTCTCTTTCTATTCATTCTGCATTTCTCAGCCTACAATAAACTTAAAAAAAGTTTTGCACAGGTTAAGGCTATCAGAGTATTAGAAAGTATCTCAAAATATAATGACACACATAGACATCTTATGTTTATACTCCATCAGATATCTGAAAACATTTGCCTAGTGCAGGAGAGAATGCATAAGAAGTTATTTTCATTAAAAAAAAAAAGTTATTTTCATTAAAAGATAGGTTTTAATTCTATGTTCCTCTCTTTCAGTCTTCAGTTACAGATGAGTGGGTTCTGACAGAGTACTTGTCACTGTTATTAAAAACTAGGTAGACTAGGATGAGTTATCATTTTAACCCTTTACTCACTCAACATGTCTGGCTCTATCTTATCTATAAACACTGGTAGTTGGCTGACAGAAGCTGGCTGACCAGTCTCTTTGTAGTTCTGAACAACTATGATTCTGAGTTAAAGATAGACAGCCACTGGATATTTACTTTAAAAAATTAAGGTGTCAGTAATGTTACATTAAATTCAGAAAATAATTAAAATATAAAGTTAATAAAATTAATCAACTATCCATAATCAACTATCATTGTTTTGGGGTCCAGTTTTGAAAGTTTATCTTTCTAGAGAGCAATTTCTCTATTAGTGTAAGGTACTTTAAATGTTAATTCTTTTCAAAACACATAAAAGTGGTTACAGGTAAACAAGTGTTCCCTGCCTGTTGCGGAAAAACCAAAAAAGCAAAATAATCAAGAACCTTTTAGATAAACATTAGTCAGTATAATATGATAGCGAGAAAATAAACCTTCTCATGGAGATGATCATTTCTATTTGTCATTTATATAGATGGCTTTTTTCTGAGCCACAAGTTTTCTGAGCTGGATTTTAGTTGATGTCTAAATCATTCTTATATTTTCCAAAGCACTTATTAACATTTACTTACTCTAAGTTCAATAAATATTTGTTAAAATATATTAAATATCCTGAGAAAATTACATGGAAATAAAAATGTAATTTAAAAAACCTTAAGTATTTTAAATGATTTGATACAGCTAGATAATGCAGAGTACAGTATGTCTTAGAAAAATAGTAGACCAAGATTTAAATTAAGTTTAATTTAAATTAAAACTGGAAATTATTACTGTATTAAAAGTGGATTTTCTTTTTTTTGAGGAGGGAACACAAAAACACAGGAAAACTTTATATAATTACCTCATTGTTAATCTTTTGTTTTAAGAACATGTTTCGTATATTGTAAAATAGCACTATAACCTCCCAGGGCAACATAACTTTAAAAAAAAAACCACCCCAAAAAACAAAACAAAAAAACAAACCCTACAGCAAAGTAGCAATACTTCAAAGCCCATGGTAAAGTAAGAAAAAGAGAGATTGCCTTTTGTCCTAACACAACTCTCTCTCCACTCTCCTCTTCACTCAATTCATATTTACCTTCTTTTTGTCTTTAAAACTTCTTCCTATGTCAAGGCCTTTACATTTGTCTCCTCTACCTGGAACACTCTTCCTCATACCAGCATATTTTTTCAAATCTTTATCGTCTTCAAGGTCAACTTAAGCAATGAGCTAAGAAAATCACCTAAACTTTGGTTTAGACTATAAACTCCATTCTATACAAATGATATTCTCAAGGTGACTTACTTAAAATTATTTAAAATATTTCAAACCACATTTTGTCATTAGAAATAAACCCCTTACCTCTTTTTCCTTTCGGTCTATGGCATCTCGCTCAGCCTGCAACTGTACTTCTAGGGACAATTCTGCTTTAGCTTCTATAGCTCCACACTGTTTTTGGTCCTCTACCTTTAAATATATAAGAATTTTTTAAAAAATTCAGACATTAATTCCTGATAATTCATTTTAATTAGAGAAGTAGCACTTTCATTTCTTTCATTTCTCCAGTTAGCAGCTGATAATCTACATTAGTGAATAATCAAAGTTACACTCAGTTTTGAATGCATTTTTATACAAATTCAAACAGGAATGTTTGACATTCTTAAAATTCATTCCTCAGATAAAACGGAGGCTATCCCCTGAATGGCTCCCTTCCTAACCTTCTTTATCCTGCTCTTCTTTGATTCATTCTTGCTTTCTGCAGTATAATGGGAATAGACTTCACTTCTTCTTAGTCTGGGATAAAGCATCAGCCTCACCTGGTATCCACAGCTTTTTCACACTTGGCTATTATTTTACAATCACAACCTTACTGACTGTTAAAAGGATCATTAATTCTTCTGGTTTATCTAATCTTCCTTTCTCAAGACTAAGGTATGCAAGTAACAGCTGGAGATAAGAATAAACAGATACAGTTATGATGTCACTGAAGACATAAAGGTGTATTTATATTTTGTAATATCAACAAAAAGTCAACAGCAATTTTTTATGTAAAGGAACAGATGTTCATGTAACTAAGAGTAATTTGCATTAAAACACTTGATAAAATTAACCTAAAGAAAATGCCACACCTTTTGAAAAGTGTCTGCACTAATGAGTAAGGCTTGCTCCAGTTCCCTTACTCTGAACTCCAATTTCTCAATTTCTTCGTTCCGTTCTTGGATATCCCTCTGAAGCTGCTCTTTAGACAGCAAAAGCTCACTGCACTTGTCTGTTTTTTCTTTCAGATGATTTGTTAACTGTTCAACCTGGAAATATAATAAGCAAAAACTGTAACTTAAAAAAAATTTCAACAAGCTAATAATAACCTAGCTCTCCTCATTTCAAAAAGTATTTTCAGATGCTAATTTTATTTTTGACAAGGATAGCAATGATCGTCTCCAACTATAGTGACATTTTCTGAGTTCACAAAACAAAGCAGTACAACAAAACAGAAAATAATACTACTTTCATCAATCCTTTATAAAAAGTTATTTCTCTTAAAATGAAGACTTTCCCCAGCTAGGAGGAGAAAAAAAATTACATTTTTGAATCATGTTGAAGTATAAGCTCTAATGGTACAACCACACTAAAACCTAATAAAAATGACACGTTTGCAGAATATTGACTTACACTCTTATGTGAGATAAGATAACCTTAAAAAATCTTTCATGGATTCTGTTTTTCTTACCAAAAATGGTTATAATTGATACATATAATAATGCAATGGTTCTAAACATCACAGAGATGGGAGAGCTTTAATACAGTCACTTAGAAAGCTTTTTCAGCCTATACGTTTCAGCAGCGCAGAAGAGAAAGGAGAATGTGAAGTGATGAGAGGGATCTGTGCACCCTGAAAGTTTCCCTAAGTAATTCTGACATGTGGGGTCTGTTCAAGAGAATGGCTCTGTGATGGAAGAATTCAGGAAGCATTAATAAGATAGCTTATGAAAATCATTCTCATCAAGTGAGGAGAGAAAAAAGAAGTGTGATGGTAAGAAAAAAAGGAATCCTAGCTTATTTCAGTGAGATATTTTAAGGAAATGATCCAAAATGGTACTTATTCTGCAAAACATTAAAACAAATGCAAACTTACCTATAATTACATGTTCAAGGATGTCAGTAACAAAGCCACTGAGGAGAAACTTTGATAGTAATGGGTGGACTAAGATTTGGAAGTACAGTAAAGGAAGAATCGTGGATCACTACATCAAAAACTAATGATGTATTGTATGGTGACTAACATAATAAAATAAAATTAAACAAAAAATAAATAAATAAATAAAAGGAAGACAACAAAGCAGCAAAATAGTAATGTTACAGTTAGATTGTTTTGATCCTGAGAAAATCAGAATCTGGGGAATCAGATTTGGCAAGGTAAGGACAGAACAAATAGATCACATTGTTCCAGGAGAAAATCATCCTTGTTAGTTTCTTAAAGTTTCATGAACGAGGCAGGTCAGTTTTCAAATACAAGAAACCAAATAATAGGAAATGACAAGAAGTTCTAAAGCTTAAATATTCTTTTGAGTTTCAACAAACACATCTATTTTTCAAAAGCTGAAAATATGTTAGGAATAAGACCAGTAACTACAAACTCTGTGGGGATTGATAACTTTTCTACTGCTCTAGTAGATAAGGCTATTCTATATCACATTACTTCAATGAGAATGTAAATAACATTTTACTATGAGTTTATAGACATTTTATGCTTCTTTGGAATTCTTTGAAGAGAAATGAAATCTTGTAAATTGTATAGAAATAAAATAAGTTTTTAAAAAAAATTTAACTATTATTATTTCTGAAAACAATTTTATGTCTTCACTATGTAGTAGGCCAATACTCCTATGAAGTGGGTTCTATTACAATTTCTATTTTAGAAGTGAGTAATCAAATTTTAGAAGTTTTAAAAAAGTGACTTAGCCATTGTCATACACCTGGGTAAATCATACAGCCATGATTCAAACTAGGATGGCCTAATGGCAAGCTCGATCTCTTTATAACCATACAAGCCATCATTAGCAATTTATATAATAAGTCTTCCCTCATTCATGTAGCATTCATTTTAGAGTTCTAGGTTTCTAGATGAGGAAATGGACAATTGGGATGAAAAAGTAGAAGCAGGGAGAGTGGTAATGAGGCTACCAAAATTATCCAGCCAAACAGTGACAGCTAGGATTTAAGGAGATGAATAAAAACGGAAAGAACAGTAAGATGGAAGATGTAGTGCAGCCTGACTCACCAATGGGCTGGAAGTAGGGGTTGGGAAAAAGAGTGGAATCAAGGATGAAGGCTATGTCCTCACAATGAAGAAGGTGAAGATGGTACAATATTTACTGAAATGAAGAAGGAACATGTTTTATTCTTGTCCTTCTCTGGTGGGGGCTAGTTACGAATCAAGAGCTCTCTTTTGAACATGTTAATTTTGAGACACATAAATGGAGATATAGTGAGCATCTGAATATTCAAATCCAGAGTTCAAAAGAGATGTCAGAGCTGGAGGTATAAATGCACAGTCCTTTACATGTAACTACCTGGGAAGAGAATATGGACAGGAAAGAAGAAGGGGGCCCAAGACTAAGTCTTAGGGTACTCCATCATTTATTTGGGTTGAGAAACAAAGATTAGAGAAAGAGACCAATGAAGTAGGTATGTCACAGAAGCTAAAGTGTTTAAGGAAGAGGGCTAAAATGAAAGCCTCTGAATGGCTGTGTATGATGAAGACAGAGAGATGATTATTGGACATAGCCATGAGGCTGATAACCTTCACAAGAATCATTTCAATGAAACAGAGGATATAAAATCCCACTGAGACAGAGGGGTTGAAACTTCATTGCAGGGGATTGAGAAAAGAATGCAAGATGGGGAAGTAAAGAGTGAATACAGACAATTCTTTTGATCTAGGGAATGGGAATAGAAAAATAAGCAGAGAAGTTTATTTAATTGGGTAATACTAGAAGATAAATTTCAATGCAAACAATTTTTAGAGTTTCAAGAACCTTTCACACTGAAGTAATATTTGATTTTCTGGTTTTGAAAATTTATATATGACAGAAAGAATGCCCTTTAAGTTCTTCACAATACATATCTTATTTTACACACAATATACAAATTATTGTAAGGCAGACAACATCACTAAAGTTCTTACCTCTCTAGTTTGATGTTCATTGATAGGCTGGAATCGAGGTACAACCTTAAGTTGCTGTTCTAGTTTCTGTATTTCCTGTTGGAATACATCTCTCTCATGTTCTCTATCAATGGCTTGCTCCTGAAGTATAAATAACAGTGATAGTAACAGATGAAACAATACATATTAAAGCTATTATTTCTGCTACTTCCCTTTAGTTATACATATAGCTTTATTTGAAGACAAACAACTGATGACCACAGAATACCCCAAACCAAAAGGTTTAAAAAGATAACACCTTTTGTATGGTATCTAGCCCATTTGGGCTCTTTGACTAAAATTTACGCATTTAAATATTATTTGAAGCACAACATTTTAAAAAATTCAAGTAATGTTAAATATAGACTGAAATAAAAATATTATCCCAAAAATGAGTTTACTTTTTTGGAACAAAGAGGAATTCCATTGTTAATTTAGTCAATAAAAAAAAATAAGCAAAACAGATTATTTAGTAAATCAATTTCTTTCATCCTAATCTAGGTTTCGTATCTAAAATTATAAAATGTGTCAGAATCTGATTCCCTGATCTATGAGTATATCAGAATATCAGGCCTTAAATGAAACCCCAAAGAAGAAAATCCATGTGAAATTAGAGACTTAATGTCATTTTGGAAGAGAGTAACGACAGCATAACAACTGTCCCAGTCCCCTGTTTCCCAAAGCACACTGTTACTGTGTATATCTTTTGTGGGTGAAATAGTGTTGGCCAGTTAGCTATTAGGATCCTCACCCTGCTTTGGCAGTTGGTTGAAGAAAAGACTTGGACAAGCTTCTTAACTCTGAATTTGGAAAGGCTAACTGGTAGGGTTTATTTGTAATCTGCTTATATCGCCTTTAAAAAGCTGTGATAGGTGAACAATAAAAATTATTAGAGTTTTTATTTGGAATAGTACTTTTCAGTTAATTGTAGAAAACACATACAGATGAAAATGCTAGAATTCAAGAGTCTCTTCATAATTTAAAAGTCACAACCTAGAGTAGCAGCAAGTAAGCATTCCACTGAGAAAATCAATATTCAAGTTGAGAATACTTACATCTAAAAATTTTCTCATTTTTTCTAATTGCTTTTCCAGTGCTTGGTTTTGCTGTCGTAAATCCATAAGCTCAGCATTTTTTTCTTGTTCCAGCTCTATAAACCTACTGACTTGTTCCTCAACATCTATTTCTAGAGCTTTCACTTGTTTTTGAAGGTCATCACGCACTTTTTCAGCTTGGCACTGTACTTCTAGTTTTTCCTTCATTAGTTTTTCTGTCTCCTGTAGTAATTCTGTTTACAAATATAAAAATATTCTAAGTTACATCATAATTAATAATAGCGAAATCACCTATAACTATGCTCAAATTTTACCTTCATGAAATAAGAGATCTGAGTTTTATTTCAAACTCACGTAAAAAAGGAAAATGTTCCTGTGAAAATATCAAAATATCATATTCCTATATAAGTAAGCAAGCTAGTATCAAAAACTTACACTGTATTAACAAAAAGAATCATCTTGTCACTAAAAACAATACTTTGTGAAAATGCCATAGCAAATGACCAAAAAAAAAAAAAAAAATCCACTTTCATTATAAGGAAAAGAACAAAGTCTAATTAAATTTAAGCACAGAAATAACTCACCTCAGGCAAAAATCAAACCAATAAAATCACTTTTATATGCATACACAATACACACGAAGATCAAATACTGTAAATTTTTAACCAAGGCAAGTAAGAGTCACAGAAAAAAAAATATAACTACAATCAGAATTTCCTGTTAGTCTTTCTCCTTATTAGATCCATATTCCTGAGTTAGTCTTGCATGCTCATACATATATGTATCAAGAAAAAACTGACAAGTATGAGAGGCAGTATGGTGTAGTGCTTAAGAGCAGAGACTGTGGACTCAAATCCTAGCTCTGCCGCATATTTCCTATGTGAAACTCAATACGATGTCCTCCAATTTCCATATACGTAAACTGGGGATAGTAACAGTAGTGAGCTCTAACAGTTATTGTGGATCAAATGAGTTAATATACATAAAGAATAGTGCCTAGAGTATGGTAAGCACTATGTAAGTGTTAGCTATTATTAATATTAATAATACAATTATTAAGTATAAATAGCAAAGTAAAACAATCCTCTAATGAAAAAATAAAGGAACACAGCCTGAGAGTCTTTACACTAACCAGTCTGCCAACACTGTGCTCAGGACTAGGAATCTAGAGAAAATAGCTTTTCCTTTTAAAACAATAGTGATTTAGATGTTAATATAAAAGTAAATGAACCAGAGTCTCCTTACTAAATTTCATTGATCCTATTGTTACCATCATCTTATATTTCCTGGTTTAGAAAGAGCATTTTGAAAAGTTATAGGCTACAGGAGTTTAATGTATTTGTTTCTGTAAAAATTGAAATGGTCTTAAGCTCTGTGGAAAAACAGATATAAGATGATGATCACTATGAATCTCAGTTGTTAATTTCAAATATAAATATGTATTTTGTTGTAAGTAAAGTTTTTTGTTAAAGAGAAAAACCGTAAGTATGAAACACAACAGCAAAATTAGAGGTACGTTAGTTGGAAAAGTAGAGGTATGTGATTGAAAATTCAAGGGTCACCCAATATTTGGAGTTGTAAGTTTACCACCCAAAGACTGGCCATGCAACTGTATAAACACACCTGCTCCAGGTGCTGCATCGACTGCAGCATCTACTAGTCCTATAAGAATAGAAAGAAAACACACACATACAGAACAAAGATATAATTTACATGTCTATTTCCTAAAATAGGATAATACGTACACAAAAGAATTAGAAGTAAAACTTGACACCATTGATAACATTTTGATGTCCCAGTATTTCTTGAATATTTTACATGTATGATATATATATGCTTTGCACATTAAAAAGTCCAACTCTAAACCCGTTTTAAACAAATTTGAGCATCAGAAACAACCGTACCATATTACAAAAATGTATGCTATATTTCTAAATTGGTAAAATTCAACCACTGAAACTACACATTTATAAAAGTGAGAGGATATGATCAAAAGGATTTAAAGTTCCACTGTTATAATGACAGGCACTTTTTACTGCCAAAAAAACTAAGATATCACACCTAATTTCTCATTTAAGAAAAGATTAAAGGTTATTTATAAATTGTATATTCTTTGAACTCCTACACAGATTAAACCAGATGTCAGCCTGCTTCTAACAGTCACTGACCTTTTCAAATCTATTCTCTTGCAGGCCGAAATCCACCCCCCTACCTGCTTGCTGGGAGTGCTGGATCAGTGCTTAGTTATTTATTCCAAGTATACATTTTTGCTGCCTTTCTGCTATTAAAAGTACTTAATCTTACATGGTTTAAAAAATATCCTGCCTCATTATATGTAGCTTTCTTTTAAGGGAGAAGTTCAAGAATAAAGGATTATCTTTTCCAGTTAAAATCTGCCAAAGTAAAAAAAGAAAAAAAACAAAACACCCCTGACTCTACATGGTTGGCTAATGAACATTTACCAGAGAGGCAGATTTTCTTGTAATTTTTCAATCCCCATATAAAATACACAAACAAAGGCAATGAAAGAGGAAAAGAGCCACCTTGAACTTTTAAGGAATGTTTCATATACAAAGTCCAAAAATACATACGCTGTTCAACTGGGCCTGCCTCTGCTTTCATAGCTTCTTTCTGTCTGGACAGTAATTCTCTTTCTTCTTGGATCTGCTGTTGCTCTGCTTCCAACTCTTGTAATCTACTACCTGCACATAACAATTCCTGCTCAAGACGATCTATTATATCAGTTTTTTCCTGAATTTGCCTTTCAAAAAGAGTTTTTTCATCTGCATAGCCATCAATGACACCTATAAGATAAAATTAACAGGGAATGGGATTATAACTTATTTCAAATCTTACCATTTGGTGTTATATAAATAATAAAAGGTGTACTGTTAGCAAAACTTCATTCCAACATTTTAAATGTTTTGAATGAATCTGCTGCTGCTGATGGTAGGTACGTTCAAAGCAATCTTTTTCTTGTTAACCTTTGTGCCTAAATCTGAAGTTCCTTTGAACTTTCCATTATTTTGCTATACTAATGTATTGCATCATGTAGGTGTAACTCACTTTATTACACAGATATAAATAGGTTTCTGGAAAGCTTAATATAAATCAGATGCTTCTGAACCAAATCACATTTTAAATATACTAGAGAAAGCTGATATTTTAAGTGATTCTAGAAGGCCAACACCCACAACAGTATGGCAGAATATAAACAGCATGAGGCTTTCGAGGCATAAAGCATGGCATCACCATTTAATGGTGGCCTTGAACAATTTATTAACATCTTTTTTTTTTTTTAAAGATTTATTTATTTATTTTGAGAGAGCGAGAATGAGAGAGAGAGAGAGAGTACGTGAGTGGGGGAGGGTCAGAGGGAGAAGCAGACTCCCCACCGAGCAGGGAGCCCAATGCGGGACTCGATCCCGGGACTCCGGGATCATGACCTGAGCCGAAGGCAGTCGCTTAACCAACTGAGCCACCCAGGCGCCCTTTATTAACATCTCTTAGTGTCAGTCTTTTCATCACTAAATTACAAGACTTGCTTTAGGAAGGTGGGATTATGGTAACAAATCACTATCATTTATTTCTTTTTCTTTTTTAAGATTTCATTTATTTATTTGACAGACACAGTGAAAGAGGGAACACAAGCAGGGGGAGTGGGAGAGGGAGAAGCAGGCTTCCCGCGGAGCAGGGAGCCCAATGCAGGGCTCGATCCCAGAACCTTGGGATCATGACCTGAGCCAAAGGCAGACGCTTAATGACTGAGCCACCCAGGTGCCCACTATCATTTATTTCTATATTTTCCAAAACTTTCAATGCGCTCTGTAATTCTATTAAATTCTTTCTTTCTTTTTTTTTTTTTTACAGATTTTACTTACTTGACAGAGAGAGAGAGAGAGCACAAGTAGGTAGAGCAGCAGAGGGAGAGGGAGAAGCAGACTCCCCGCTAAGCAGAGAGGCCATGTGGGGCTGGATCCCAGAACTCTGGGATCATGACCTGAGCTGAAGGCAGACGCTTAATTAACCGACTGAGCCACCCAGGCGCTCCTCTATTAAATTCTTTCTAATAATTAAAAATATATACAGTTCTTAAAATTGCCTGGAGAAATTCTGAAGATCCACTACAACTACGTTTCAGTGGTCACTCTAAATTAGAGTAGATTGGTAATGTCCAAATCTGGCTTGCATCAAAAATCTCTATTTTTAAACTTGAAATTTTTCCACCCTCAGCTGCCAATGGCAAGTTGCTTACCCTCAGCCTTACTGAGCTCCACAGCCAGCTGTTCTCTGGCCCTGGACTCCTCATGAAGGCGCTCTCGCAGCTCTTCTTGGCACTTAAGGGACTCGGTTACTTCTTGTTTCTGTCGAAATGACTCCCGCATCAACTCTGTCTGTGTAACTTTTGCATGTTCAAGCTAAACAAGGAGGGAAAGCATACATGAAATAAGACAACTGAAGTGTGGGAAGGCCAATGTCATTCCCCACTAAAGCTTAAAAAAAAAAAAAAGATTTTTAAATAAAAATAAAGGCATACTGTTGAACTGTAGCCAGTTAATATTTCTAGTGCATGCTAACATTAATAGGTGGAAAAAGTCATTATACAAGTAGATTAGCTACATACAACTTTACATAAGAGATGTATTCTAATTTTATTAAACAAAAAAAAATGCTTCTTTTGGAAATAAACCACTTCCAACAGTAGCTCTGTATTCTGTCACATAAAGAGAGGTATAAAGTTAATGACACATAGGCTCTGAAAATTCTGAAGAATTTTCTGTAATTGTAGTCTATGAAAAACTTAGTATCTTTTATATTTAACATTTATTATTGATTGTGGACCCCTGCTATACACTATGGGGAACTAATATATGCTTAATGTAGTGGCATCAATTAACAAAATCATAGTGGCACAACCAAATGAAATTATTATAACCCATTTTTAACTAAAAGCTTTATATTTCTGTCCATCTATGAAACATCTACAGGACTCTCTATGAATATTCAATTTATTTTCAAAACCTTAGAATACAGAGGCATTACCCATAATTACTCATAAATACAGCCTCCTTAATATGCTGTTATTGGCATGACTATATTCTTACACAATTTTTAAAGATGACGGTCAAGGACAGACTCAGGCCAAAGCTCTAAGAAAACAGTGATCACTGTTACCAGCTCCAAGAAATTACAGAAAAGCACTGTTCCTGCCTTAGTTTTCTGAGCTTCTGACGGCCAGCATCTCCTTATCTGTTTTTTATTTTTATTTTAAAAGAGAGCATGTGAGCGAGCATGGGGGTGTGGGGAGGCAGAGGGAAAGGGAGAGAAAATCTTAACCAGGCTCTACACCCAGCGCATAGCCTGACGTGGGGCCCCTGAGATCATGACCTGAGCCGAAATCAAGTCGAATGCTTAACCAACTGAGCCACCCAGGCACCCCTGTTTTTTATAGTAAAAAAACATAACCGTAAAGAACTAATTTATATATAGCTACTCTTCTGAATTTACAGTCACAGCCTATATTTTTAAAACATATCAACTGCTTCCACATATGTAGGTATGTCACTTTTTTCTGTATATTATAAAATGGTTGGTAAATACATGAAATCTCTAAGAGTTCAAAGCTCTCACTAAAAAAAACAGGAGTTGTTTTTTTTTTCTTTTTCGAATTTACTGTACAAACACAACAAGGCATTTAGCATTTACAACAAAATAAATACTTGATTTAGTTAAGAAAATTAAGTTTTTGCTTCTAATGTACTACTTCTTGACAAGATCTAAAGCAACCTTAAAGTGCATTTAAATATGTACCATAAAACCAGAAGAAATAACTTCAGTTTTACAAAACAAAACTAAAAAGTTAGAAGAATCAAATTAGTAAAGCTAGCAAACAAATTTCATTTATTATAGCAAATGGCGCTCATACTTTACTGGAATAAAGAGATTCCCTTCAAATGTTCATCTAAATACTCTATACTTTAAAAAGCCTCTTCTAACCCGCTTTGATTTATTCCTAATACGTATAATACCTAATACCTAACAATATGAAATATATAAAAATTTCATATTCAGTATTTCTAAGTAAGTTAAGAAAATTATTACATTAAAAGTAAGTATAAAACATCAATAAACTGTCACTTTAATATAAAAGTTTCAGAGGAGGTAACAAAACTATTCTGAAAACCATCTGGCCTGTTAAATATTAGCTAGTGTATTACAATTAAAGCCATGAAAGTCATAAAAAGTGCTGAATAACTTGTAGTTATACTGAATAACTTGTAGTGAATCATTCAAAACATACTTACATGTTAAATAAACCTGAAATACTAACTATGCTAAATACCCTTAATTTCTGTAAAATACATTTCACATAAAAAGTAGAAAAGAGTATTTCCTCACTGGATCAGTAAGCATATTAAAAATAAGTTCCTTATGAGTTAACAAGAAAATTAAAATTAGAATCCATATTTTCTTTTTCCCTGTCTGGAACTATAGCCAATATACCATATGATTGTAAACATTTCCTAATTGGCTCAATGGACTTAGCTGTTTTAAGTACCACAATGCTCATTCCCTCAAATATAATCATTCCATTTTTACTCAGGATTGGAATCATAAACATATAAAAGCAAGATTGTTAAGGACAAGCAGGATCTTTTTAAACAGCTTGCCTGGCATGGAAAACTGTAATACTATCTCACTCTGCCTTCTGGAATCAAAAACATAGCCAAGTTGGGGCTCTTAGACCAAATTTAGCTCTTCAATATATCAGGATAAATAAGTAGTAACACATGAAACAATAACAAAACAAGATTCTATTCCATTTACCCTTACTAAGGACATCTAAAGTTCATTTCTCATTTATACAGGTTTTTTAACTACATGTCTAAAAAAGTGAAAGTATAAACTAAAAGTATAAGAAACCAAATTTTTTATACTTACTGAATAAGGAGGGGTAGGCAGTGAAATTTTAGAAATAAGCTTTAATATGTGCCCATTTCTTTTATGAATAAAATGAAAAATAGAAGTATTAATAATAACAGAGTTATTTTCATCCAAATGTTCACATAGAGGAAAAGGATGTGGTAAAGGCACACGAGATTCAACCTCATAAATGTCTTCATCTTGTTCTTCCAACCATGAGCCGCTGAGTTTGACAGTTGCCAAATAGGTACGGTAAGAATCCATGCTAGTAGATTCAGCTGCCAACTTCCCTCACTTGCTTTAACAGTTTTCCACTACATTAAAAGTTCTTATCTTAGTTTATCAAGATAGACCACAGCAGTATGCAAATTTCTTTTTAGTACTATCAAATAAGCATCAATTCATACAAATGAACAACAAAAGAAAAAACACACAGATCTATAAAAAAACTACATTTCTACCAGTCTTCATCAGAAACAAAACAAAAAACAAAGACAACAAAAATAAAAGCAGAAAAACTCCTTTTTAACTAGAATAATTAATTCTTTAAAGAATGGAAGAATGAAAATATAAATATCTAAGTAGCCGAGCCATAAAACTGCTTTCGGTATCAAATATATCTATGGAAATAAGTAAGCCTTCCAAACAGAACCTGGCAGGGAAGGTCAAGTTTGAAATCTCCATAGCAGCAGTCTTGAGAAATGTAGTTGCAACATTATTTCCCTTGTTCTTGCTGCTTCACTCAATTCAAAAGTAAAAGCTCTTCTGAACTGAGCTATTCAAATAGCCTCTCACCCTGAGCCAAAGGATTCTAGTCACTGTCCCTGGAGGAAAAGGTCAGAACAGAGGGTGTGGTTTCATGTCTTTACCTATAGGTACTGACAGGTGGAATGTGAATTAATACGCCCACAAAAAAGCCTGCCTAACAGGATCCAAGTTCCACGTCAGAGCTTTGAAAAGGGTATTTAGACAAGTTTATAATGTTTCTAAGATAAGCTAGTATTTTTCCATCCTACTAGAAAATTATTTTAATTTGAAAATGTGAAATCAAGTAGGTTTGAGTCCACATTACCAAAGAGTTCTTAAAGTGTATCAAATAATCATAATTATTTCTGGAAGACTTAGTATTTCCTTTTGATATTTCCTTAAATAATACTCATTCTTTTGAACAGTCACTAGAAGTAAATACAGATAGTTCAGTTATAACCTATTTCCCACAATGAATTGTTTTCAGAGTGAATGTTAAGGGGAAAAAAAAACGCTCTTTAAAAAGCTGCATTATATATAATATGTTTGGTAATTATATATCATTACTTAAGGTATCCTAGGAACTCTGACTAAAACTAAAAAGTGCAAGTTGCATATAATAATCTTCTGGTAGCTCCAGAAATGTTGGCAACAGTGAATAAACTAGACACTCAGAATTTTAAAAGATGAACAACTTACTTTTTAACAGCAAAAGATCCTCAAATAAATGAAAGAGCTTTCATTGTGGTGCCTTTTTTTGGTCCAGTAACTAAATATCCTAAACCCATAAAACTAAAACCTTTTATCTACTATGGAAAAACCCATACTAAGGCAAGCAGGTGATATCAACAAAAATCTGTTTTATAGCCACTTTCACTACACAAAATTGTTTAAAGGAGTCAACACTCAAAGCCTTCATAATAGGCTAATAATTAGGGAAGAGAAAATGCGATTTTCTACATAAAGCCCAGAATCTACAGGTAGATGCTTGGGGTGGAGGTGGGGGGGGGGGGGGACAGCTGCCTATTATAATTCTGGATTAGGCAATGACAAATTTCTGTTTATTGTGTTTATTTTATGTGAGCCCACCAGTTAGTCTATTAATAAGTCTGAATATCTGTACAAAATGGAGGCCTAACCCTATACTGGGTCAGCTAAATATGATTTTTCTGGATCTTTAGCAGATACAAAATCATCCATATCCTAGCTGCTCAGCTTTATGAACTGACAGGATCCATACTAACCATATCATATAGTTCTCAAAATACTCTTTCCTGGCTCCCTGTGGGAGTTACAGTTTATTTTGATAATCTAGTATCCAATTTCTCTTATTTGAAGCAAAAACAAAATTCTGAGAGTAAGAAGTATCTCTTTATAAAGAGAAACATTCAGGTCAAGGTAAGAATTAACTACAAAGAAAAGAAAAACCTAGGGAGGAGAAAAAGACTCAAAAAAGTAGTAGATTAAGATGATTTAGAATGAGGCAAACAGTCCTTATAAAGGACAACAGTATATTAACTGATGGCATATTATATTGATTCATGTTAAAAAAGGTGACCCTAAGTTAAAATAATCCAAATTATATTTTTCCCCCATTTTTGAAAGCATGTAAAACTTGTTTCCATCCATGTAAAACCAAAATCTATAGGAGTAGAGTATATCCACTTACAACTAGGAACATAAGTCAAGGTTAAGAAACTAACCACAAAGAAAAGAGAGTAAAATTAGGGAGAGTAAAAAGGACTCA